AGTCGACCGGGCAACCATGTCGACCAGCAGCTCCCGTACGTGCCCGTCGACCTCCCAAGTCGACGACCACCTCCACGTCGACCTCCTCCAGGTCGACGTCCCCTCTGGTCGACCAGCTTTACATCGACCAGTACTCCTAGTCGACCTGCTCCTCGTCGACCAGCATAGTCGTCGGCCGACCACCAACGTCGGCCACCCCAAGTTGACGTCACCAAGTTGACGTCCTCCGCAGGTCGACTCCCAAGTCGACCTCCCTGAAGTCGGCGCCCGTGCAGTGGTCCCCCATGGAGGTCGACCTCCTCGTCGACCAGCTCATCCACTGCTGCAGGTCGGCTGCTCCCCTCGCACCCGACCACGAAGTCGGCTCCGCCCAAGCGAGGACGGGGCCAATACCCAACTCCGGTTGACAACATCACCCTTGCTGCGCAAGGGGAAGACTGTGGTGTAACGTGAGTAGTCGTCAACCACCAACAGGAAGTAGCGCTCGTGACCGAGTCCACAGACGCGGGCAGGGCCCCACACGTCCATGTGAAGCGTCTGCAACGGAGCCTCTGTCGGAGGAAACTGGGAGGAGTGAGGGCAGCACGCTGGCGCCCCTCGACACAGGGGACACAGGCAGGGCCAGGGCCCTGAGGAAGGGGAGGTAGAGACCGGGGGAGACCAGACACAAGAAGACGGGAGGCCATGCCTCTGAGCCGAAGCAGAGAGGGGTGGCCAAGGCGGTGGTGCCAGAGGAGGGTCTCGTGAGACAGACGGCGACACGAACAGGGGGCAGACTCAGGACCAGACCTGGACGCTGCAGCAAACACCTGACCAGACGAAGGGACTCTACCAGACTCAGCACCTGGAGGAGAAGCAGTGGTCAGTGTGTACAGGCTCGACCCTGGCTGACGTGTAAACGTAGCCAGGTGACGACCCGTGCTAACCTCTGTGCAGTGCGTCACTCGCTGACGAGCAGGGGTGAACTGGTGGACTCCCGCATCCTGTAGGTCAGCACCACTCACCAAGTTCGTAGAGAACGAGGGGAGGTAGAGACCAGAGAGGGTGCCAGAGGGAGCCGCCGGACACGGGAGGACTGTGGAGAAGCGAGACAGGACAGGACCCCCAGAGGGGTCAGCCAGGGAAACCGCAACCGGCCGACTAAGCGGCGTGAGTGTGGTGCGGTCCCGAAAGAAAGAGCGAGACGCTCCAGAGTCAAGAGTGAAGGTGTGGGAGGCCGAAGCCGACGCAGTACCTGAGAGCGCAGACGCACTAGTACCTGAGAGAGCAGCCTCACTAGTACCTGAGAGCACAGACGCACTGGCACCTAGAGCAGAAGCCTCACCGGCACCTGGAGCAGCAGTACCAATGCCCGGGTCGGGCGGGAAACACCGGTAACAGTCACCCTCATCACTAATGGTCACAGCATACATGGCAGCAAGGATAGCATCAAAATCAAGATCAAAGATAGCTACACCAGCCCTAGACAGCTCTCCCCAGCGGGGGATCTCCGCGGCCTCCGGGAACTGCTGGCGCCAAGCGTCCGTCAGGCGGCCAAAGCAGCGCTGGGCGGGGTGGGCACCCCACACTGCTCTCCAGTGCGGTCGCCAGTGCGGAGAACGTAGGTGCAGGGACCAAAACCCCCACCGCGCTGACGCTGCGTGTACCACTCACGGAGCTGCTGAGGGGTGGGGACGTCGCGAGAACGCTGCTGCTGCTGCTGGCGCTGACCGCCCCCAGTGCCGCTCCGCTGCGAAGCTCCACTCCGACCACCTCCACCTCCGCCACCCCCGCCTCCGCCTCCACCGCCCCCGCCTCCGCCTCCACCGCCGCCACCTCCGCCACCTCCGCTACCACCGCCACCGCCGCCGCCACCCCCGCCTCCACTTCCGCCACTAGCACCCCCACCCCCGCTACCACCTCCACCGCCACCCCCACTCCCTCCGCCGCCTCCACCTCCACCGCCACCGCCCCCACTGGCCCCACCCGCTCCCTTGCCCCCCTTGCCCTTGCCAGAGCGGCGTCTCCCGCTAGGGGCAGACGCCGCACCGACCGACTCAAGACCAACGAGGTCGGCCGCAGCGGCAGAGGCGACAGAGGGCAGGAGAGGGGAAGGAGAACACCCCTCAAAGATGGGGGCGCGGGGGTCACCTCGAGAGGCTCCTACAGCAACTATGCTCTTCTCTGCTGCAAGGAGGGCCTTCTCGAGGCTGTCGACTGTGAGGGTGGTGGGACAGACCGCGAGGAAGTGGTCCCGGACTACACGAAGGGAGTCAGGGAGGCGAGTGACTAAGAAGTAGAGAGTGATGTACATGGGGGGGGGGTTCTTGGCGCAGAAGTCAGCAGGAAGCGCAGCGCGGTAGCGAGTGTCACTAGTGCGGAGGTGCGTGATGAGATCAGCGACAGTGGGAAAGGCGGCAAGGTCAGGGAAGAGGAAGGGGAGCATGAGGCGGCTCAGTGCAGCAGTGGCAGGGGAGGAGTAGCGCGCAACGACAGCGTCGTACAAGGTCTGAGCACTCTTGTACTGGCTAAAGTGCGCGCGCTCAGCGGTAGGCAGGTGGCGACGCACAGCAAGACGTGCAGCAGCATCGCGCGTGGCCCACTGAGAGCGAACAGTGGCGTCAGCATCAGCAGTAGGGGCAGGGACGGCGCCAGAGGTGAGGTCAAAGAGAGACAGACCGTCCGCCCTATCGCACTGTAAAAACAGCTGCAGGTCGTCGAGCCAGACCTCAAAGTCAATGGCTCGACCCTCAGCGTCAAAAGCGAGGACACTGGGTGTAGCCATGACGACGACAGTGGAGCAGTGCAAGCAGTAGGGGAAGGGTACGCAGTGACAGCGGTGCAGTGCTCACCGGGCAGGGAAGGTCGGGCGGCTCGGGAGGAAGGTCGCCTGGCGACTCGGCGGCTAGGCTGCTGGGCGGCTCGGCTCCCGGGCGGCTCGGCTGCTGCTGGGCGGCTCGGCTGCTGCTGGGCGGCTCGGCGGCTCCTGGGAGGCTCGGCTGCGCCTGGGCGGCTCGGCTGCTGCTGGGCGGCTCGGCTGCTGCTGGGCGGCTCGGCTGCTGTTGGGCGGCTCGGCAGCTCCTGGGCGGCTCGGCTGCTCCTGGGCGGCGCGGCGGCTCGGCTGCTGCTGGGCGGCTCGGCTGCCGCTGGGCCGCGTAGGTAGGGCGGCCGGGCCGCAAAGGTAGGGCGGCGGGACGGCCGCAGGTAGGGCGGCGGGTGGGCCGCAGGTAGGGCGGCGGGTAGGCCGCAGGTAGGGCGGCGGGTGGGCCGCAGGTAGGGCGGCGGGACGGCCGCAGGTAGGGCGGCGGGTGGGCCGCAGGTAGGGCGGCGGGTAGGCCGCAGGTAGGGCGGCGGGACGGCCGCAGGTAGGGCGGCGGGTGGGCCGCGACGGAGTGGCGGGGCCGCTCGAAGGGGTGGCGAGGCCGCGACGAAGTGGCGGGGCCGCGCGAAGGGGTAGCGGGGCCGCGACTGGGTGGCGGGGCCGCGACGGAGTGGCGGGGCCGCTCGAAGGGGGTGGCGGGGCCGCGACGGAGTGGCGGGGCCGCGCGAAGGGGTAGCGGGGCCGCGACTGGGTGGCGGGGCCGCGACGGGGCGGCGGGGCCGCTAGCAAGGGCGGCGGCTGGGCCGCGAGTAGGGCGGCGGTCGAGCCGCGAAGAAGGGCGGCGGGCAGGCCGCAGGTAGGGCGGCGAACGGCCGCAGGTGGGGCGGCGGTGCCGCGACGAAGAAGCGGCGGGGCCGCGAGGAAAAGGGCGACTCGGAGGGTCGCTAAAAAAAAAAAGGCGCGCGCCTCGGGCGCGCTTCGGTGGGCCCTAAAGAACAGTCCCTATGATGGGACCTGCTCTGATTCCATGTGAAGAAAGAAACGTGAATGAAATGACTATGAATGAAGTGAGTACAAATAGGAAACCTTAGTTGGGTTGTACCCCCTATGGGATACCCCACTATAGCCTACACAAATAAGTAAGCTATAATATTCTGACAGACACTAGGCGACCAGGCGAAATGCACAAATCTGCGCATTTGATTGGGTGAAACGAATGGCTGTACACCGGTTTCCTCAATCTTTTGGCTGGCATTTTGTTTGTGTTGCGCGATATTTTTTTCCCCGCGAATTTCGCTGTGCAGGCCTCCAGATGCAATGACATTTCGAACCGCATGCGATTTTGTACGAATGTTGCGTCGGTTTACAATTCGCCAGCGACGTCAGCGCGTTTCACGCTGACCAATGAAAAATACAGTAGTAGTCGCTGAAATCCGACTCGCAATCGGGACACACTACAGTTTACCGTATAGTTCCGGCTAGAAGACCCGGGGAATCTCTACAAATGCTTAAAAATATGCTTGGGTGGACATTATGGCGGTTGCAAATTTTGAAGACCCGGGGTACACTTATTTATCATATATCAATTTGTTATTTAGGGTGTACAGCTCAATTTGGGGCAAGGGGGGTCTTATATTCGTAACGAAAAACCGTCTTCGCGTGAAAATTTCGCGCGAGCGGCGCGTCAGATTTCTGTCAGAATTCGAGTCTGACACAATCAAAGTGTCAGAATTCGGGTCTGACACAAAATGCATGTCAGAATTCGAAATTTTGCCAGTAAAAACTGACTCACAATTGCAATAACAACTACTTTATACATAAAAGGGGGGTCTTATGATGATTAGAGGCCAAGGGGGGGTCCTCACAATATCTGCCACAATAAGAGTCCCCCTACCCGTTCAAGAGTCCCGGGGGACCTTCTTACCGGCGGGTCTTCTAGCCGGAACTATACGGTATGCTGTTTTTGGGTGTCACAAAGCGATTGAGACTTTTGTGTCAAGGCAGGAATGCACCCCAACTCCACATTCACTTCATTGACTTTTCTTCAAACAGGTTTGCATTTTTAGATGATTAATTAGCAACTTAGCAACCCATGAAGGTACCTCAATCAGAATACAAAACAAGTTGCTATGACAAAACATAAGCAGCGATTACTATGTTAAGGGTTTCTTTTGTTATCGTTCTACTTAGTTAACAGGCTCTAATCGTCGTACCATCGCTTTCCAATTGACTGCCCAGGCAAAAAACGAGAGCAAGGGGATACGGGTTAAAGCACACACACACAGATTAGAGATAAAACAACTTGAGACATCACAAAACAAACAAGCTACAAGGTCATCACTCATACACACATAGTAGACAACATACCATGTGCCAACATACCATGTGCCAACATACCATGTGCCGACATACCATGTGCCAACATACCATGTGCCGACATACCATGTGCCAACATACCATGTGCCGACATACCATGTGCCAACATACCATGTGCCGACATACCATGTGCCGACATACCATGTGCCAACATACCATGTGCCGACATACCATGTGCCGACATACCATGTGCCAACATGGTTCAAGCAGTTCAAGTAACAAAACCATCTCTCTCACACAGGTACACATTCACATGTCATCTGGCTGCACATACAGGCTAGAAGAGCGTACCAGAGCCTCTCATTTACAAGCTACAAGTGCATACCACCACAGCCTCGCTCACTCACTCACTCATTCACTCACTCACTCACTCATGCATACCTGACAATCGGCAGCTCTCTTGCTTCAACACCACCTCCCATAAGTTTTGAGGCACCTCAACCACACACTCTATTGCTCTCACTCACGCGTACCTGATGATCGCCCTCTCTTGCTTTTGAGACACCTCAAATGTAGATTCACATGCCTCCCTCACCCACACAGCTTCTCACTCTCACACACACACTTACCTGTCGAACTCCCAGTCTCTTGCTGTGCCGTGTGGGCCTTGTCGCCTCTTGAGCCCCCTCTTTTCCACCACCAGCACCACCACCGGCACCACCAGCAGCACCACCTACAGCAGCAGCTGCAGCATTTGATGAGCTTGGTTTAGACTTCCGTCGCCCTGATCCTCTCGCTGAAACCACCCCTCCTCCACCACCACCACTAGCACCACCACCACTAGCACCACCACTAGCAGTAGCAGCCGCCGCAGCAGCACCACCAGACCCTCCAGATGCTCTCTCTGTTGCCTCTCCGCTCCACTGCCTCCCCCTATCTCCCCACGAAGAAAGCCCCTCCCAGGGTATACTTACCCCCCCTTCCCCCGGTCCCACACCCACTGCCCCTCTCCCCAGCTCCCTTAGCTCTAAATCATCATCATCATCATCATTAGCAGCATCTGCCGAAACAGCGTTTGACAATGTGATGGGAACAGCAGGTGCCGCTTCTGCGGAAGCTTCCTCTTCAGATGCCGCTGCTGCTTCTTCAGACGCTGCTGCTGCCTCTTCCTGCCTTTGTCTCACACTGCTGCCTCTCCGTTCAACCGCTTTGCCAGTCACTCGCCGCTTTTTCTCCTTCTCCTTCCTTGCTTTCCCCTGCTTCGAGTCCTTCCTCTGCCCACCTCCCTTTCTCCTTTCCTTAACAACATCCTCCTCATCCTCGTCCCCTTCCTCCTCCACCTTTCGCCTCTTTGCCTCCCTCTCAACCTTCCCCCCTCCTCGCTTCCCGCCCGCACGCCCCCCCACTCTCCCACTCACCTTCCCTCTACCTCTCCTAATCTTAGCTCCCTCTGCCCCTCTTCCTCTTCCCGACACCGCCCCACCTCGCACACCCTTTCTCTTATCCACCCTTCCATCCTCATCCCTCTCACTCTCCTCTTCCTCCTCCTCCTCTTCCCCTTCATCAAGCAACACCACTGCCTCTTCCTCCTCCTCCTCCTCCCCCCCTCTCTCTCTTTCCCCATCCTCCTCCCTCCCTTCCACCTCCTCCTCACTCCCGCCTCCTCCCTCCTCCTTATCCCCACCCACCTCCTCCCTATCCCCTTCATCCTCCCTACTCCCTTCTCCCTCCTCCTCCTCCTCTTTACCCCGTTCACCCTCCTCTTCCCTATCCCCATACCTCATTCCCGCCCCAGCCCTTCCTGCTATGATAGCACGCGCATTCCATCTTCCCGACCACCTACCACGGAGCCCCATCCCTCTCACTGTAACTCCTGACCCTCTCAGTGGGATCCCAGGCCTTTGAATCGTGAGACGCGGCTCTTTGATAGCCTTTCCTGGAGACCTAACTGCTAGCCCACGCCCACCGGTGCCACCACGCTGACGGCTCAAGGCAGCAGCAGCAGCGGAACTGCCTGATCTGCCCCTGGCCTTCTCTGTACCTCTCTCTTCCCCCTTGCCATCGATTCCTGAGTGTTGCTCCTCCTCCTCCTCTTGCTCCTCTTCTTCCTCCTTCTCTTGCTCCTCTTCCTCCTCACTCCCCCCTTGCTGCTGCTGCTGCTGCTGCTGCTGCTGCTGCTGCTGCTGCTGCTGCTGCTGCTGCTGCTGCTGCTGCTGCTGCTGCTGCTGCTCCTCATGCTCTCTGCTCTCCTCTTCTCCCCCGTCCCGTTCCCGCACCATAGCCAGAGCTCGTTTCAGCACCCCAGCTGCACCAGCATTGGCATCAACACCAGCAGCAGCAGCAGCAGCAGCAGCACCAGCAGGAGCAGCAGCAACAGCAGCGCCCGTACCAGCAGCGATTTTCTTTGCAGCACCCTTGAGTCTAGAGTCAGTTTTAGGACCAGTAGAAGGTTTTCGCGAGGCCGCAAGCAAACCCTTAGGCCCACCAACAGCAACAATTCGTCCCGTAGGCGGTTTCTGAACCACACTCTCTCCCTTCTTTTCCTCCTCCTTTTCTCCCTTCTTTACTTGCTTCTTCACTTGCCTTTTCTGGTCCCCCTTCAACCCCACCCCACCCAGCAGCACCCCCATGTACTGCTTTCGAGCCTCTGGTGCGTCTGAAGGCTCTCCTTGATTCACACCTGTCTGTTTCATCACCTTACTTGGTCGCACCTCAGAAGGGGTAACTTCCGAATCTGCCCCAGCACCCTCTGTTCCCTTGGTTCCTTTACCCCGGACTGAAGGTCCCTCCTTTTTCTTCTCTCCCTTCTCCCCTTTCTCTCCCTTCCCTACCTTCTCTCCCTTATGTTCTTTCTCTCTCTTCTCTCCCTTCCCTTCCTTCCTGCTCCTCCCCCGTTCATTAGGCGACACTTCAGTCCCTGCCCCCGCCCCTGCCGCTGCTGCCTCATCACTAGCTGAAGCCCGCTCCATCACCCTTTCTACCGAATCTACTCTCTTCCTCTTCACCCCATCTGCTCTCTTCACCACCCACGGCATTCCAGCCAACTCCCGACCCCTTTCCTCCTCTCTCTCCTCCTCCACCTCCTCCTCCTCCGCCTCCTCCCTTCTCTCCTGCTCCGCATGCCCTTCCCTAACAGCAGCAGGCGCAGCCGCCTCATTAGCAGACTCGGATCGTTTCTCCCCCTCCTTCTCCTCCTTCTCCTCCATTTCCTCCAATCTGCTTACAGCGTCCACACCCATTAGCAGCAGCTCTAGACTCGATGCCGCTGCTGCTGCCGAGCCACCCAGGGGAGTAACCTTCTCATCCCCTTTACTAGCTGACTCAGTAACAGGTACAAAACCTTCCCCATTCTCCTCCACTGCTTCTGCAGCGTCTGCCCCTTCTCCTGCCCCTCCAGCCTTTTTTGCCTTCGGCTCTTTCTTTTTTGGCCTGCCCGAAGCCTCTTCTGCCTCTTGAAAAGTTCTCTTGCCCACTATGTTCCCACTTGTCACTTTCACTTTCTTGTCCTTCCCCTGCTTCTTTCCTTTCTCCTGTTTTCCCGACTCAACCCCCTCTCTTCCACTCCCAACTCCCCCTTCTACCCCTTCTACCCCCTCCAACCCCTCCGCACCTCCACCAACCTCCAACCCCACAACACCTGCTGCAACCTTTGCCTTTTTCCTCTTAACTCCTCCATCATCCGTCCCTGCTGCCTTTCTCTTTGTCACCACTTTGGCTTGTATCCCCTCGACCTCTTCCCCCTCTCCTGTTCCTCTCGCCCCATCCTTCCCCACCGTTTTCACCCGTTTTGCACCCGCCTTGGCACTAGCAGCACCAGCAGCACCAGCAGCACCAGCAGCACCAGCAGCACCAGCAGCACCAGAAGCACTAGCAGCAGCAGCAGCACCTGCCCCAGGACCCAATCCTGCCTTCCCCTTTTGCCCTACCTGCCCTTTCTCAGGCTTCCTCACTTTCTCCTTAGGTTTCTTCACTCTGCCCTCGCCTCCTTGGGCTTTTTTGCCTTCTACCCCCGTTGCAACAGGTGCTACCCCAACAGTACCCGTGTCAGCACCTGCAACCCACCCACTAACCGCCTCCTCCCCTTGCTCCTCCTTCTCGCCCTCCCCCCCTTCATCTGCTGTCTCTGTATGCTCTGAATCCTCTGCAGTGCCTGCCACATCAGCTGCTGCTGCTCGTACTGCTCCTCTTCCTACTGCTGCTCCTGCTGCTGCTGCTTCTTCTGCTGCTATCCCTCCTGCCCCTCCTCCTCCTCCTCCTCCTCCTCCTCCTCCTCCTCCTCCTCCTCCTCCTCCTCCTCCTCCTCCTCCTCCTCCTCCTCCTCCTCCTCCTCCTCCTCCTCCTCCTCCTCCTCCTCCTCCTCCTCCTCCTCCTCCTCCTCCTCCTGCTGCTGCTGCTGCTACTGCTGCTACACCTCCTCCTGCTGCTGCTGCTACTGCAGGAGCAGCGCCAGTACCAGCGCCAGTACCAGCGCCAGTACCAGCGCCAGTACCAGCGCCAGAAGCAGTACCCTTGCCGCTAGCCTCCTCCGCCCCAACCCCCTTCTTCCCTCCCTTCAAAACCGCCTCTCCCTTCCCCTTCTTCTCTCCCTTTCCCTTCTTCTCTCCCTGAGCCGGTTTCATCGCTTTCTTTGAAACCGCCTCTTGCTCTTCTCCCTCCTTGCCCTCATTTCCCTCCCTCCCTTCCCCCCCAGCCTTACCTACCTTCACCTTCGCAGATACACCTCCCCCAGGCTTCACCTTCCCAGGTATGCCTGCTCCTATGCTTGTCCTCCCCACGCCTGGCGAACTCTTTCCCTTAGACTTCCCTTCGCTCCCTTTCTCCTTCAGAGGTCCCTTCTTTACAGGTTTCTTTCCCGCTGCCCCTGCTGGCGTTGCTGCAGTTCCTGCTGCCCTAGCTGCTGCCCCTGCTGCTGCAGCTGCCAATCCTGCTGCTGCTGCCCCTGCCGTTCCTGCTGCTGCTGCTGCCGTTCCTGCAGCAGGTGCAGCAGCAGCATGGGAAGCGTCAGCAGCAGCAGCAACAGCAGCAGGCACAGGCGCACCAGAATCAGATCCTGCTGCAGCTGCTACAGCCGGCAAGTCTGCAATTCCGGGCCCACCTGCCTCTGCTACAGCCGAAGGCTCAACTGAGGCTGGGGTAGTAGAGTCAGCTGGTCTAGTGTCAGCTGTCTCTCCTGTCTCTCCTGGTCTCCTAACCTCTGGTGGCCCTAGGCCGAGGGAAAGAGCAGCACCTAACCCGCCACCCCCAATCCCCCCACCACCAGCAGATGCACCACCACCAGCAGCACTGCCAGCTGCACCAGCAGCAGCAGCAAAAGCACCAAATCCAGCCTGCTTTGACGCCCCATCCCCTCTCAACGCACCAGCCCCCTCCTTCCCACCCTGCTCCACCCGCTCCTCCCCTTCTCCCAGCCACTCTCGCTCGCCCCCACCAGCGTCCCTTGCTGAAACCTGGGCCGCAACCTGATCCGCCTGAGAACCTTCCAAGAAAATCCTCGCGACCTGCTGACCAGGAACCCGAAAGCTGCTGCTACTCAGCTGCTGCCCTTGCTCAGGTAAGCTGCTGCTGCTGCTGCCCACCTGCTGCTGCCCCTGCACCACCGGGAAATTGTGGATGCCAAGCAGCTGCTGCGTCTGCAGGTGAGGACTGCCATGACCACCAGCCTGCCAATTGTCTGGCCGGCTTTCCCTCGGCCCTGAAAGCGCTGCCTCTGCCTGCATTGGTCCCGAAGGCCCCTTGTGAAACGCCTCAGGGGGCGCAAGCGCTGGTGCCGGTGCTGTCGCTGGTGCTGGTGGTGGTGCTGGTGCAGGTGGTGCTGGTGCAGGTGGTGCTACTAGCAGGGGACGACCAAAGAGCATCTCTTGCGAGGGAACGGGAGGGGCCGGTGTGGCATCAGCAGGAGGAGCAGGAGCAGCAGCAGCAGCAGGGGGGGCAGCAGAGAGAGGAGCAGCGGGAGGAGCAAGCGGAGCGGCAGCGGAAGCGGGAGTGTGCGTGAGAGGGAAGGAAAGAAGCGGAGGTGTGGCATGTGGAGCTGTTGCTGCAGCGTTCACTGCTGCTGGTGTGGGGGCAGCAGCAGGAGCAGCAGCAGGAGCAGGGGTAGCAGCAGAGGGAACAGCAGGAGCAGCAGCAGGGGGAGCAGCAGCAACAGTCAGACTTGGTACAGGCACACTCGGTACAGGAAAGCTCGGCGCGGGTATAGTCACACTGGGCAGAGGAACACTCTGATTGTTAGTGAAGAACCTGCTTAAAGCCCAAGGACCAAGCAGAGATGGGTCTAGCGCCCCTACTGCTACCTCCACCACCCCCCCCTCCTCAGCTGGTGGCTGGAACCTTCCTCCTCCTGCTCCCGGACCACTGGCAGCACCACTGGCAGCACCAGCAGCACCGGCCGCACCGGCAGCACCACCGGCAGCAGCACCGGCAGCAGCACTGGCAGCACGGGCAGCACCGGCAGGAGAATCAGGTGCTCGACGAGGAGACAAGAGGTGGTGCAGGCCGAATCCCACAGCAGGGGAGAGAGAGATTGCTCTCACTCCTCCCCCTCCACCTCCTCCTCCCAACCCTGCTGCTCCCAAACCTAACCCGCTTCCCAACCCTGCTGCTCCCAAACCTAGCCCTCCTCCCAAGCCTGCACCCCCCATCCCTTCCCTTCCACCAGAAGGGCCTAAGAGCGGGGTAACAGGGGGCGTTTCACCAGCACCAGCAGCACCAGCACCACCTCCTCCTGCCCCTCCTGCCCCTACTACTCCTACTCCTCCTCCTGCTCCACCTCCTGCTGCTGCTCCTGCTGCACCTCTCAACCCCTCGCCCGCCGCGCCCCTTCCCCTGCCACCGAGGGTGGGGCTAGTGAGACCTAGACTCACTCCCAATAGGCCAGAGCTTAGAGAGCGAAGGGGAGGCGTGTGTAACAGACCTGACTGTGCTGCTCCTGCTGCTGCTCCTGGTGCGCCTGCTGCTGCTCCTGGTGCGCCTGCTCCTGCTGCTGCTCCTGCTGCTGCTGCTGCTGCTGCTGCTGCTGCTCCTGCTGCTGCTCCTGCTGCTGCTCCTGCTGCTGCTCCTGCTGCTGCTCCTGGTGCTGCTCCTGGTGCGCCTGCTGCTGCTCCTGGAGCCTGGGATTGTTCCCCTGGGGAACTAGAAGGGTACTCATGCCCTGTCCCCTGTGCTGCTACTACTGCTGCTGCGGTCCCATCAGCAGTGGTGTGTGTGAAGGAGCGAGAAGCAGTGAGTGAGTAGCCTGGTGGCAACCGAAGAGCCAGGCTGGCAGCTGAAGCAGCACCCGTACCACCTGTACCAGCACCAGTACCACCACCAGTACCACCAGCAGCACCTGTGGCAGCAGCAGCAGTGGCATCGCCCCCACTGAGGCTGGAAGAGGAGGGGAAGGCCTTCAGCAGCTGGGCCTGGCTCGGACTTACAGGAGGAGCTGCTGCAGAAGCTGCTGCAGCTGCAGGCGCAGCATCGCCAGGTGCATTTGCAGCTGCTGGCGCAGCAGCATGGGGAGGATTGAAGGGAGGGACAGGGGGAGGCACGGTAGCGATGCCCCTGCTGCTGCTGTTCCGCCTGGCCTCAGCTGCTTTGAGCCGCCCCTGCAGCTCCTCCACTCGCCTCCTCTCTTCCTCTAGCTCTTGCTCCATCGCCTTATGCTGGTGGGTAGAAGGGGAGCAACCACGAGGTGAATGAGGTGAACGAAAGGAAGGAGGGGTATCAAGGGACGGTGACGAGAGTGCCTGCAGTTCCTCCACTCGCCTCCTCTCCTCCTCCAGCTCTCGCTCCATTGACTTGTGCTGGTCGGGAGGGAATGAGGGGGTTGAGGAAAGTGAGGAAAGTGAGGAAGTGAGAGGAGTGAGATGCGAGAGCATGTGGGATCGGAGAGCGACTGAAGCTCTTCCACTCGCCTCCTCTCCTCCTCCAGCTCTCGCTCCATTGCCTTGTGCTGATGGTGGTGAGACAGAGGGAAGGAACGGGAGTGAAGGGTGAGGATAGAAAGCAAGGGGAAGGGGAGAGCGACTGCAGCTCCTCCACCCGCCTCCTCTCCTCCTCCAAAACTCGCTCCATCGCCTAGTGCTGGTGGGGAGGGGAGACAGGGGGAGGAAAGGAACAGTTGAGAGGGACGTGAGGAGAGAGTAACCCCTTGCTAGTCTACCATCATCCCTTTTGCTCACCTTAGTCTCGGCATTCAACCTCAGCCGTTCCATCATTGCAACAGCTCGTTCCTTCGTCTCCTCAGATGCTTACTGCTCTCACCCACCAACATCACACTCACCAATTGCTTCTCTCATCATCACCCTTCCCTCACCTTAGCCTCGGCAATCAACCTCAGCCGTTCCATCATAGCAAGAGCTCGCTCCTTTGCCTCCTTTAATCCTCTCTTGCCTTTCATCTGGACACCCCTCTACTAGCACCACCCCCTATAGAGCACCCCTGTGTTATCACTCCTCTTCCGCCCACCAACCCCATTTCTCACCTGAGCCTCAGCATTCAACCTCAGCCCTTCCATCATACCAACAGCTCGCTCCTTAGTCACCTCCACTGCTCCCACCAACATCACACTCGCCAAGTGCTTCTCTCATCATCACCCTTGACTCCCCTTAGTCTCGGCATTCAACCTCAGTCGTTCCATCATTGCAACAGCACGTTCCTTCGTCTCCTCAGATGCTTACTGCTCTCACCCACCAACACCACACACATCAATTGCTTCTCTCCCATCACCCCTTTACTCACCTTAGCCTCATCATTCAACCTCAGTCACTCCATCATTGCAACAGCTCGCTCCTTCGTCTCCTCCAGTGCTCCCACCAACATCACACTCACCAATTGCTTCTCTCATCATCACCCTTCCCTCACCTTAGCCTCGGCATTCAACCTCAGTCGCTCCATGATTGCAACAGCTCGCTCCTTCGTCTCCTCCAGTGCTCCCACCAACATCACACTCACCAATTGCTTCTCTCATCATCACCCTTCCCTCACCTTAGCCTCGGCATTCAACCTCAGTCGCTCCATCATTGCAACAGCTCGCTCCTTTGTCTCCTCCAGTGCTCTCTCCAGAATTTCCACCTTCTGTTCTGCCACTGCCGCCCACAGAATCGAGTCTTTGGGGACCTGATCCGCTACAGTAACCGCTGCATGCTGCACTGCAGCAGCCGTGGCTGCATCAAGGGGGAAACCGAGGGGGCCGGGGGCGGAAGGGGGAGGGGGGGTACCAGGGGGAGCGGGGGAAGCACGAGGGGGAACGGGGGGAGCACCAGGGGGAGGAGAAGGGGCACCAGGGGGAGCGGGGGAAGCATGAGAGGGAAGGGGGAGGACTGGAGGAGGGGGGCGGGAAAGGAACTGGGGGAGGGGGAGTTGGGGGAGGTGGAACTTGGGGAGAGAAAACTGGGGGAGGGGGAATGGTAGTTCCTCAGGCCAGGTGTGAATTGGCTGTGTCTTCCCTGCCCCTGCCAGCTGCTCCCCCTTCAACTGAGAGTCGTTTGCTTCTTGCTGCTGCTGCTGCTGCTGCTGCGGTTGCTCTTTCAGCTGCTGCACCAATGGCACCTCCTTCCATCCCTCCCTCCTCTCCGTTCCTCCCTGCTCCCCGTTCTCCATCCCTCCGCCTCCTTTCTCTTTTCCCACCGCTTCCTCCTCTTGCCGCTGCTGCTGCTGCTGCTGCTGCTGCTGCTGCTGCTGCTGCTGCTGCTGCTGCTGCTGCTGCTGCTGCTGCTGCTGCTGCTGCTGTTGCTGCTGCTGCTGCTGCTGCTGCTGCTGCTGCTGCTGCTGCTGCTGCTGCTGCTGCTGCTGCTGCTGCTGCTGCTGCTGCTGCTGCTGCTGCTGCTGCTGCTGCTGCTGCTGCTGTTGCTGCTGCTGCTCCTGCCTCTCCCCTTGAACCCCCAAAGATGACACAACAAGTCCCCCCCCTGTTGGAGCCTTTACCAAACTTTCCTTTATAGCATTCCCCATTACAGGGTTCTCCTTCATAGAGCTCTCCTTTACATGATTTTCCTTTTTAGGATTCTCCTTTATAGGGTTCTTCCGAGGTCTTCCCCTTCCCCTGGTGGGCTTGTCTGGGTCGTGCACTCTCTTAGCCCGCACAGCCTGCTTCAAGTTCTGTGTAGGCTGGCTCTGCTGCTGCTGCTGCTGCTGCTGCTGTTGCTGCTGCTGCTGCTGCTGTTGTTGTGCTTGCTGTTGCTGTTGCTGTTGCTGTTGCTGCCGCTGCTGCTGCTGTTGTGCTTTTTGTTGCTGTTGTTGTTGCTGCTGCTGCTGCTGCTGTTGTTGTTGTTGCTGCTGCTGCTTCTGCTGTAGTTGCTGCAGCTGCTGCTGTTGCTGCTGTTGTTGCTGCTGCTGTTGCTGTTGCTGCTGTTGCTGTTGCCGTTGCTGCTGCTGTAGTTGCTGTTGTTGTTGCTGCTGTTGTTGCCTCTGCTGTTGTTGCTGTTGCTGCTGCTGCTGTAGCATCAGCTGTCGTTGCTGTTGCAGCTGCTGCTGCTGCTGGTATTGTTGTTGTAATTGCTGTTGCTGTTGCTGCTGTTGCTGCTGCTGCTGCTGCTGCTGCTGCTGCTGCTGCTTCTGGAGCTGCTGTTGCTGCCCTCCCTGCTGCCGAGCCTTGGCCTGCAAGGCCTCCTGTTGCCTCTGCGCTTGCACTTGCCTCAACACCTGTAGCACACCCCCCCCAGTAGCACCAGTACCAGCACCAGTAGCACCAGTACCAGCACCAGCAGCACCAGCAGCACCACCGGCAGCAGCACTGGCAGCAGCACCCGAAGCAGCGCCTGAAGCAGCACCAGAAGCAGCACCAGCAGAACCACCACCTAAACCACCACCACCAGCAGCATTAGCAGCAGCAGCACCACCAGCAGTACCACCACCCCCAACAACACCCTGAGGAGTACCAGTACCAGCAGCAGTGCCACCAGCAGTACCACCTGCACCAGTTGCAGCCCGCCCCAGAGGCGCCTGCAGCAGCTTCTTCTGAGCAACCAGCTGGGAGATCGTTGCTGCTGGAGCCTGCTGCAAGGCTGCCGACCTGCCGACCTGCCCTGCAGGGGCCTGCTGCCCTGCTGCCGCCCTCCCTAGTGGGAATGACGAGGACCGTGCAAGGAACGGAGCTGCTGGCTTGGCGGGCAGGGAGATCGACGTGGAGGATGGAAGAGACTGCTTTTGCGGCGCTGCAAGGATTGATTGGGGCTGCTGGGTCTGCTGGGGCTGCTTTGGTGCACCTGCTGCTGCTGCTGCTTGTGCCTGCCTGGATTCAGTCGCCCCTGCTGCTGCCTGCTTCACACCAGTTGCCGCAGCTGCCTGCTGTGCCTCCGCTGCCACAGCTGCTGCCTGCTGGGGGGTTGTTGCTGTTGGGGGTTGCTTCCCTGCACTGACCGCTGAGACTCCCTGAGAGCCCGGAGCTACTGCTGCTGGGGGTTGCGGTAATACACTCGTCCCTGCATTTGCCCAATTTGAAGCTGCTGTTCCTGGCTGCTGAGGTGTTGCTGCTGTTGGGGGTTGCTTCCCTGCACTGACCGCTGAGACTCCCTGAGAGCCCGGAGCTGCTGCTGCTGGGGGTTGCTGTAATACACTCGTCCCTGCATTTGCCCAATTTGAAGCTGCTGTTCCTGGCTGCTGAGGTGTTGCTGCTGTTGGGGGTTGCTTCCCTGCACTGACCGCTGAGACTCCCTGAGAGCCCAGAGCTGCTGCTGGGGGGTGCAGGGACGGGAATGGAGCGTGTGGCCTTGAGGCAACAGCACCAGCAGGCGCTTTTGTTGCCTGCCCAGCGGTTGCTTTTTGCGCTACAGCCTGCTGGGCTGCAGCATGCGGTGCTACAGGCTGCTGCGATCCCCCTGTTTTTATTCCACCCTTCTGCGCTACAGGCGGTGCCTTTTGCGCTACAGCCTGCTGCTGACCCCCCCCTGACGGTACCACACCCCTCTGAAACCCTGCTTGTGGTGGTGGTGTTGGTGCCTTTATCGGGTGTGCTACAGCAGTCGGAGGAGCTACAGCTTTCACGAGGGCTACGTTAATCCGTGAATCTGTAGCAGACGGGCCGGCTGTAGCGGGCTGTGGCCCTACACGAGACTTCCCAGCTGTAGCAGACTGTGTATTTGCAGCAAATGAGCCGGCTGTAGCACTCAGTGCAGCTACTGCCACCACCGGATTTGCACCCATTCTTGCAGCTGCTATAGAAGCTACAGCTGCTGCAATGGCAGCTGCAGCTTCTTCCCGCTTTGCACCTTCTATAGCCGACCCTGCTGTCCCGCCTGCTATGGTTGGCCCTGCCGTCCCTCCTGCTACAGCCGGCCCCAGCTTTCCTCCCACTACAGGTAGTCCAGGCTTCCCTCCTGCTACAGCCGTTCCTGGATTTGCACCTGCTACAGCTGGCGCTGACTTTCCTCCCGCTACAGCTGCAGGTTGCACTCCCAGCCTGCCAGCCGCTACAGCCATGACAGGGGCAGAACTTTCTTTACCTCCCTGTGTCCCTGCAGCTACAGTCCCCAGACCAGGCTTTCCTGCAGTCACAGCTGCTACAGCTGGTCCTGGCTTCCCACCAGCTACAGTTGTCCCTGTGTTTGACCGATTTGCACTTGCTGCAGTAGCAGCATTTGCACCCGCTATGGCTGCCGCATTTCTACCCGCTACAGCTGCCAGCTGAACTCCCGTTCTGCCAGCTGCTACAGCTGGAACAGTCTTTGCAGCTGCTTCTGCTGCTGCTGCTACAGCTGAAGGCTGTGGTTTCGCTGTTACAGCTGAGGGCTGTGGTTTCGCTGCTACAGCTGAGGGCTGTGGTTTCGCTGCTACAGCTGAAGGATGTGGCTTTGCTGGCTGCCCTTTGCCTGTTGACGGCTGGACTCCAGTGGGAGCTGTAGCAGGGGCAGGAACACGGGCAGGAGTAGGGGCAGGAGCACGGGCAGGTGTAGGGGCAGAAACACGGGCAGGTGTAGGGGCAGAAACACGGGCAGGTGTAGGGGCGGAAACACGGGCAGGCACAGGGGTAGAAACAAGGGCAGGCACAGGGGCAGAAACACGGGCAGGCGTAAGGGCAGGAGAAGGGGTAGATGCAGATGCACTTGCACTTGAAGAAGCAGCAGCGGGAGGGGTTGCGGCAGTAGGGGGGGGGGTGGGTGATTTGGCTGCTGCTGTTGCTGCAGGGGAGACAGTGGTCGGTTGGGGTGTTAGTGGAGCCTTGGCTGACGAAGAAGTTGGAGGAGTGGGTGCTTTGGTTACGGCAGGGGCAGGCTGGGGTGTTGGTGGAGGCTTGGCCGCACCAGCAGTTGCAGGCTTGGCAGCTGGAGGTTTGGCAGCAGCAGTCGGCGACACCGCCACAGCAGGTTTGGAAACAGCTGCAGCAGTAGCAGGCTTGGAAACGGCAGTGATAGGTTTGGAAACAGCAGCTGCAGCACCAGTAGAAGGGGGGTTGGGTGCAGCAGCATTCGCACCAGAAGGACGGGAAGCGGCAGATGCAGCAGTAGGCGCGGGGGCAGGACTAACGAGTGGAGCAGTGACAGGCGGAGCCACATTGGGTTGAGAGGAAGATGGAGTGGGTTTGGAGGGAGGCAGAGGGAGAGGAGGAGGGTGGGTTGACTGAACTCGGCTGACTTTCGAAGCTGCCACTGCACTGGAACTAGCACTAGCACTGGCACTGGCACTGGCACTAGGACTCGTACTAATAGTAACTTTGGCCGGAACTGCACTGTTGGCAGGATTGGGCGTTGCTTCTGCTCCTGCTGGTGCTGCTTTACCCATGGAGCTGGGGGCAGGAGGGGATGAGGGCTTGGTTGCTGGCGCTGCTGGTGCCCCTGCTGGCGCTGATTTACCTGTGGAACTGGGGGCAGGAGGAGATGAGGGCTTGGGCACTGCTGTTGCAGGCGTTGACGCTGCTGCTCCTGCTGGCGCTGCTTTACTTGTCAAGCTGGGGGAGGGGGAAGATGAGGGTTTGGGTGCTGCTTGCGGAGCTGCTGGCGTTGCTGCTGGCGTTAGTGTTACTGAACCTGCTTTCCCTGGGCCGCTGGGAGGAGGAGCAACGGCAGGCGACAGTTTGAGAGCCGCTGCTTGCGGAGCTGCTGGCGTTGCTGCTGGCGCTGCTGGCATTGGTGTTACTGAACCTGCTTTCCCTGGGCCGCTGTAAGGAGGAGCAAGGGGAGGCGATGGCTTGAGTGCCGCTGTTGGCGGAGCTGCCTTCCCCGTGCTACTGGGAGAGGCAGTAACTGATGATTTTGGTGCTGCTGCCAGCGGCGCCACCGCCATTGCTGCTACTGCTACTGGGGCTGCTGCTGCCGCTGCTGCAGGCGCTACTACTGGCGCTGCTACTGGCGCTGCTGCTCCTGCTGTTGCTGCTGCTGGCGTGGCTGCTGGGGCGGCTGCTGGCGTGGCTGCTGGCGCGGCTGCTGGCGGAGATGCTTTCCCTGGGCCGCTGGGAGGAGCCAGGGGAGGAGGTGGCTTGAGTGCTGCAGCTGGCGGTGCCTTCGCTGTCGCCAGCAACGGTTTGGTGGGAGACAGGGGGAGAGGTGGAGGCTGGGAGAGAGGTGGAGTTTGGGAAAGAGAGGAAGGCTGGGGACGAGGGGGGGGCAGGGGAAGAGGCGGGGGCTGGTGCATTGAGGGTTTGGCTGCAGAAGGTGGTAAAGGCTTGGTGGCAGCAGGCGGCTTAGGTTTCAAAGGAGGACTGGTAGGGCCTGTGGGAGCAGTGGGAGCAGGTGCAGGCGCAGGTGTACTTGTCGCCTTGGATGCAGGTGCGGATGCAGGTGCGGATGCAGGTGCGGAGGCAGGTGCGGATGCAGGTGCGGATGCAGGTGCGGAGGCAGGTGCGGAGGCAGGTGCGGAGGCAGGTGCGGATGAAGGCGTAGGGGGGACGGTGGGCCCTGCTGATTCACGAGCACCTACGACCTTCTCTGCACCCTTCTCTGCACCCTTCTCCCTTGCAGCCACGCCTTGCAAGCTTGCCTTCGCGTTTCCGACTTGCATGCCCTCCTTCCCGCTCCCACCCTGCATCTTCAACGTGGCACTCGCGTCCGCTATCCCGCTCGCGTCTCCTTTCGCGCTCGCGCCTCCTTTCGCGCGCGCGTCGCTAACGTCTCCCTTTGCGTTCGCGCTCACGCTGCTAACACTAGCGCTCCGTACGTTTTCCTTCGCGTCGCCGCCGCTCTGAACCGTTCCCTTAGCCGTCGCGCCCCCAGCTACTTTCTCCCCCTGACCGCTACCGATCTCCGCCTTCGCGTCCGCACTCTGCGAGTTTCCCATCGCGCACGCTCCCCCGCCCTGCGCGCTCCTCGTCGCGCGCTCCCCCAGTACTACCTCCGCCGCGTTTCCGCTCCCAATCGCGTTTCCGTCCTCCGTCGCGTTTCCGCGCTGCGCGTTCTCTTTCGCTTTTCCTCTCTCCGCTATCTCCTTCGCGCTTCCGTCCTGCTGGTTAACCAGACCCGGCGACGTCGTCTTCGTCGCCGTCGTATTCGCCGTCGTTGTCGCCGTCGTCAGCGTCGTCGGCGTCGTCGTGCGATTCGTTTTCGGATCCATCGTCTCTACTCGAACACTACGCAGCTTCATCGTCGTTGGCGTTCGCGAGTAACCGCTAGTTCGCGAGGCCGTCCACCCATTGATAGTAGACCTGCGACAGATACAAAAGGAGACACGGTATTGAGTTGTGACTAGACGTCCGAGGCCTGCGGTGTCAATAGAAATGAATCTCATAACGCACGATAGCTCGTTTTGAAACTCGTTCACGAGTAACTTCGACTTCGCGAGCCCGCATCTCCCGTAAGAAAGCTAATATCCTTCAATTCCTGCGATAGCTATGAATGGAGGCGGTGAGGAAAGTGATTTTTGAGACCAACGAAAACTCGTTCGAGATTGACTAGTACTACTTCGCGAGACCGTTGATCTCCCATTGTAGACTTTCGAGTCCTGCGATCGACAGAAAATACGTAGGATTAAACGCATGTAAACGAGACGCATCAAAAAGACGAAAATAGATTTCCAAGCAGAACGGAAAATCAAACTTGAAGGCGTATCAAAACTCGTTCGTAAATGAAACAACACTCAATCACGTTAAATAGCAATAATAACAATAAAACAACAGAAGAAAAACACATCTCAAAAGGCATTAATCATTGTTTAGAACAATAGACCATGCGGACTGGAGAGTTGAGACCAGAACTAAGGGAAATAAAGCAACGAGAGGATCGGGAGAGAAATGTGGAGTAAGCGTCAACGAAGAAGATTCTAATCTGAAAAAGAGCTCAAAATTCGCAAATATTAAACGGGTTGCGGATGCCGGACCCTGGTTACATAAAGTATCAAAACTCAGTTTGAGAAAGAAAGAAAAGGCTGGTAGCGAGAAACGCGAGATAAGAGCAACGAGGAAAATCGTTAGATTAATCAGAACTGTGATATGCAAACACGGAAGGAAGAGAAATCGTTACATTCTTCCTTACTGACGTGAATAAGCTCCCGCAGACGAAGAATTGAGTCTACAAACTGTCGCCGAAATTGTTTTTACTGAGATTGAAGCATCCCACAACAAACGACCAGGAGTCTTCCGGTGAAGAGATTGTTAAATACCTGGATCTAATTACGAAGGACCGCGAGCTTCTGAATCTTCCGCAATCGACGCACTGAAACAACCCGTGTGATTTCTGAACGTGTTCAGTTCAGCGAACGAAAACGGAAACCTATTCAATCCGACCAGGAAATTAGATCATACAACGTGAGACAGCTAGTCAATGTCAAGTTACGGCCAAACAAGCTCGTCCTAATAAAGGTAAACAAGGCACAGGGTGGAGTGCCAGACTGAAGCGACGTGGATCAGCGTATTAGGGCTGCTTGATGGGTTCTGCAGGAAAAAAGCTGGCGAGGCAAAGCTGAAACCAACAAGCAACACAAATCAGGGGAGAGAACAGAGCTTGGGGGGTTGAGATGAGAGGGAGGAAAAAAGCGCTCGAAGAAACCGAGGAACAGGAAGGTCTTTCAGGGATGGGGGGATGAAGAGGAAGCGGGTTGGCGAAATCTCGCACGAGAAATCTTTCAACACGGAGGGAACCCAGAAATGGGTCGCACGCGACCCGGGAGTTTTCGTTTCCCTGCAGGCGAAGATTGGAAACGAAATGGGGAAAGCTGGTAATATGGTGTTGACGAACCTTGAGGGGCCTTCGTGAGATTGATTTATCAGAGGACATCTCGACTTGCATGTCAACACGAAAATGTGCCGTTTTCGGGCAGATGACAAACAAAATTCGATACGGCTCCCCCAACTCTTTCACCATCCGCAGTGGCTACAACTAATCAATTTGTGGAGAAATTCGGTTTTGCGGGGAGGGGGATCAGTCTCTGTGACAAGGGTGTCAAGCGCAGGTCCCACAAGCGTTTTGCTGAGGCATTTTGTTCGATTGTGGTGAGGAGGGGGTGTTGGCGACTCGCTCTGTTTAGATAGCAAGATTTGAAAATGTTCATCTCTTATCCGACGGCCAGAAGCGTCCGAATTGTAGAGTATACAGTAGGGTACTATCACTGCTATGCACCATACATTATCTTGGCCCTATTTAAAGGATAGTCACTCGTGTATTTCTAGATGGGAATTATTAATATAATCAAATGTTAAATCATTTTGGTAAAACAGCTTAGTGAATGTTCTGAACGTGACTTACTGAGAGGAGCATTACCACGACTATATGAGTTACCGAGCACTCTCTCTTTACAGGACTTATTGGGAAGAGAAGCTGACCTTAACGGATACATGTGCACACGTTACACCACTCCGTAAGTGACGCGTGTCGACACCGCTATGACGGTGGTCAGACAGGAACATCACTTTCTTGATATCATTGTGCAGCAGAGCATCTCCCCCCACCTCGAGTTATCCTATCTCTCTCGAGCTTTCACCCAACCCAACCAAACTGATTGTCAAACGAGCAATCAAATTCCAGAAGCACAGACACATATCAGCCCAGTGGTAGAGAGGCTTCAGGCACAGCAGTATCATGGTGGCTTCATACACCAGGGAAGTCAGCCTCCCCCCACCCCAAGCAAGATTCTACCACCTACTTTTCTGAAGGATACGAAATTTTGAACATACTTGCAGGCTTGCATTAGGTTATTCGTGGACGCCTGCTTTTCTAATAGTCGCGCTTTCAGTTAGAGCAGGGTCGCGACTCGCGACGGTGAACGTCACTATGAGTGCAAGTCGTTTTGAAACAATGTCGTAGTGGCTTCTGGGTCCCTGATCCGAAGAAGCGGTTTTGTAAAGACCGTCGTAACAGCAGTCAGTCGCATGGTTGTAGTCGCTGTTCGTAGACCTAGCTGCACTCACTCAGTGCTCATCGTAGTCTTTCATGACGTTTTCATTCTGACACCGCATTCACCATGAGCTGCTTACGTGGCACAGAGAGCGTGTTTCCGGTGCAATGCCAATGGTCTTCCCCCTTGGGATCACCGCAACAGTCCTTCCTCCATCGTCATCGAGCTCCACAGGCGCTGCCACGTCAGCGTTCTCTAGCCCCAGTTAACTCAGCCCCTAGGAGCCATTTAGCGTCTGTGGCTCCTAAATACCATCGCATGTCTCCCTTCTCGAGGCTTCATCCAACATCTAGTTACAGTAGCCACTCTAACCTTTGGAGCAATAATGGTTTTTTCCCTCAATCTCGGTACAGGGAGCAACTAAACCCTGAACCTCATACCCTGAGGGCTTCTAGAGCCCGGCATCTCGCATCAACAGACGATGGTCGTTTGCCGCTCGTTTCGTTTCAGGGATTGCGTAGACCAACGCCGGTTAGGTTAGATTCTTCAGGGTTGAGGGAACGACGGCTAGGGAGTCTGTCAATAACGGGTTCAAGAGGTTCGGATTCTGTGGTTCGCGCTCGGTTCGGCGGTGACAGCCCGGAGACGGACGGGGAAGCGGAGTTCGGAGCTTATTCCTCTAACGAGGAGTCACTCAACGGGGCTGCTCGTCGCTCAGCGACGCTTGTAACTGGGGACTTTAAAACGGAGCCTGTTAGACGGACAGACGGGAATGCTCAGAAACGCGGAAGCAGTAACGGAAACGCGAGACCTAGTACCGGAAGCAACAGAAGAGATGCTGACGTGGACTGGACGGCGCTGAGAAGCCGCGTTGCGAAACTCAGCAAAAGCGGTCCTGCTACAGGAAGAAAAAGCGGCGAGGAGTCTAACAACGGGGCGGTCAATAACGGATCAGTAAGAACTGCCCCAGGGTCTCGAGTAGCTGACGAGAGCGACAGCGATGGGGATGAGCGGGAATCATCTGGGGATGGCTCGCCTAGTGGTAGCAGCAGCAGCAGCAGCGGCAGCAGCGCCGCAACAAGCGGCAGCGGGGAGAGCGGCGAGAGCAATGGCTTTAGGGTTGACGTGAAGACGCTAGTGCCTGGCGACGTGTTGGTGCATAAGAAGCTGGGCATATGTAGGTTTACTGGGACCAGGGTGGAGGTGCCGGCGGGGCGGCAGCGGAAGGTGAAGTACCTGCTGCTGCAGTTCGCGGATGGCTCGGCGAAACTCAGTGCGAAGCAGGCGAAACAAGTGCTGTACCGATTTGGCATGTGAGTAACCAGTGGGGAGGGGATGGGAGGGGACTGACAAACTGATAGGTAGGGATTGTTGTGATGCGAGCCACCCCCCACCCCCCCCCCCCCCCCCCCCCCCCCCCCCCTTCTTCCCCGAGTGTGTGGAATAAACAGCTACCCAACCCACTTCCCCACCTTCCACACACCCCGTCCCCCTTCCCACACACACCCAGCGCCGGTCCCCCTGGGCGCTCCCCCCCCCTGAGCAAGATGAACGACGCGAGTGCGTGGGAGAAGCGGCAGGCGAAGGGCAAGGAGGCAGTAGAGCGCATGGTGGCCGAGATGATGGACGTCTATGTGAAGCCAAACCAAGCCAACAGCCTGCGCCAGTGCTCTCGCCCTCACCACTGCCTTCCCACTCCTCTCCCTCCCCTGCTTCCCCGCCCCTACCCCACGTCCCCTTCCGCCCTCCCCATCCCCCCGCCCCTCCCGGGCCCTCCCCAACCCCAGCGCTGGTCCCCCTGGCCGCTCCCCCCCCCTGAGCAAGATGAACGACGCGAGTGCGTGGGAGAAGCGGCAGGCGAAGGGCAAGGAGGCAGTGGAGCGCATGGTGGGCGAGATGATGGACGTCTATGTCAAGCGCCTGCGTCAGCGGCGCCCCGTGTACCCCAAGTTTGACACAGAAATGCAGCGGTTTGGGGAGTCGTTTGCATACAAGCCAACCCCTGACCAGGAGCAGGTGGGTGGGAGGGTGCGTGAGAGCATGCGATTTGGGTGAGCGCATGGTGGGCGAGATGATGGACGTCTATGTCAAGAGGCTGCGGCAGCGCCGGCCGGTTTGCCCCAAGTTTGACACGGAAATGCAGCGGTTTGGCAAGTCGTTTGCGTACAAGCCGACGCCAGACCAGGAGCAGGTGCGTGGGTATTTGGGTAGTTGGGTGCGTGGGTGGGTGCATGGATGGGTTCGTGGGTGGATTCAGACGGAGGAACATGTGTGAGAGGGATTGGCAGATAGATGGACTGGCTGGTGTGTGACTATTCTGTGTTTGGCATGGAGGAACTCGGTGAGTCGACTCACAAGTCTCCCCCTTTTTCTCCCCCCTTTTCTCCCCCTTACAACAGGCGTTTCTAGACATGGAGAGGGACATGTGCGAGAGGGAGACCCCCATGGGCCGACCGGTGTGCGGCGATGCTGTGTTGGCTTCAAGGTGGTCTTTGAGTCGACTCACGAGTCACCTCCCCCATTCTCTCTTCACTCTTTTCCCTTCCCTCCCCCACCTCCCGCCACCGCAACCCAACAGGCGTTCCTAGACGTGGAGAGGGACATGTGCGAGAGGGAGACCCCGATGGACTGCCTCGTGTGTGGCGATGCTGTGCTGGCTTCAAGGTGGTCTTCAAGTCAACTCACATCACATGCCATCTCCGCCACGCTTCCCCACAACCCAACAGGCATTCTTAGACGTGGAGAGGGACATGTGCGAGAGGGAGACCCCGATGGACCGCCTCGTGTGTGGCGATGTGGGCTTCGGCAAGACAGAGGTGGCGGTACGGGCCATCTTCAGAGCAGTTCTCGACAAGAGACAGGTATGTGACAGGTGTGTATGCTGGATAATGGACAGATGTGATGCGTGTGTGCGTTGGGGGGAATGAGGAGGGGGGGGGGGAATATGTGTGTGTCTGTGTATTTCTGTGTCTATGTGTCTGTGTGTGGATGTGTGTGTGTGTGTGTCTGTGTGTGGGTGTGTGTATTTCTCCCCGTCTTCCCAATTCCCCCTCCATCCTCCCTCCTCGCCCTCATTCCCCTCCTCCCCCCCTCCTCCTCTCCCCATGCAGGCTATGATACTGGCCCCAACAACAGTGCTGGCGAAGCAGCACTACAAGGTCATATCCGCGCGCCTCAAGGACTGGCTAAAGCCTGCAACCCAACTTCTTCTTTCCCCGTCCTCTCCCCAACCCCCTTCGCCTCCCCAGGCCATGGTGCTGGCTCCAACCACGGTGCTGGCCAAGCAGCACTACAAGGTCATATCTGCGCGCCTCAAGGACTGGCTAGTATTCCAGTAAGGCACTTCACCATCAGCTTACCCCTCCCCTGCCTCCTCCTTTTTCTCCCCCCTCCCACGCAGGCCATGGTACTTGCCCCAACCACGGTGCTGGCCAAGCAGCACTACAAGGTCATATCTGCGCGCCTCAAGGACTATGGCGTTCGCGTGGCTCTTCTCTCGCGATTCCAGGTGGGTGGGTGGGTGGATTCAGGTTGCAGTAGGTGACAGTGAGAGCATCAGTCCACACCGAGCGCAGCAAGCAGCACTACAAGGTCATATCCGCTCGCCTTAAGGACTATGGCGTTCGCGTGGCCCTGCTTTCGCGATTCCAGGTGGGTTGATGTGCTTTCCGGCTCTTTATCAGGTGTCTAATCAGGTGGTTCAGGAGATTTTCGGTTGTGGTGACGGAAGAATGGGAATCTGCATCGTCGTCATTATTCCCCACTTTCGCATCGCCCGCTGCTTTCCCCCCCACCTAAATTCCACACACACCCCTACCCTTTTGGGACGCTTCGCAGAAGGAGAGTGAGAAGAAGGGGGTGTTGGCAGGGGTAAGGGACGGCACACTGGATGTGGTGGCCTGCACAGCACTCACTCCCTGCTGGTGTTGCTCCTCATTGCACCCTGTATACCTCCCTCCCCCTTCGCCCTGCTCCACATGACAGAAGGAGAGTGAGAAGAAGGAAGTCTTGGCAGGGATACGGGACGGCACGCTATACGTGGTGTGGTGGCGGGCACGCACTCTTTGCTTTTGAGTCGACTCAAAAGCGGATTGCCCCTCATTGCACCCTGTATACCGCCTCCCCCATCCCCCATCCCCTCTGACTTTTGAGTCGACTCAAAAGTCACCTCGCACCTCCACTCCAACCTCCTGCTCCTCCTGACTTTTGAGTCGACTCAAAAGTCACGCACTCTTTGCTGGGATGGCCCCTCATTGCACCCTGTATACCGCCTCCCCCATCCCCCATCCCCACCTTTACGCGCCTCACATATCGCAGAAGGAGAGCGAGAAGAAGGAGGTACTGGCGGGGAAAGGGACGGCACATTGGACGTGGTGGCAGGCACTCACTCACCCGCTTTGCCGTTCCCTCCACTCCCACCCTTGCGTGCTTTGCAGAAGGAGAGTGAGAAGAAGGAGGTGCTAGCAGGGATAAGGGACGGCACGCTAGACGTGGTTGCAGGCACACACTCTTTGCTGGGCGCGCAGGTGGTCTACCACAACCTGGGACTGCTCGTGATCGATGAGGAGCAGGTAACATATATATACCATATGATATATATATATATATTTATATGTCTATTTATATATGTATGCCAGACAGTATTTATCGACCTGGCAAGCTCCATATGTATGAAATGCAGTATATCATACAGTACGTAATAACATGCCCCTACCTCACTCTCCCCATTCTCCCTGCCTCCCCTTTCCTCCTCTCCTTCTCATCAGCGCTTTGGCGTGAGGCAGAAGGAGCGAATCAGCAGCCTCAAGACGAGCGTGGTAGACGTATCAGCACTCATTATTTCCCCCATCCTTTCCCCCTTTGCTCCTCCCCACACTCCCCCACCCCACCCCATCTCTCCCTCTCATCAGCGCTTTGGTGTGAGGCAGAAGGAGCGAATCAGCAGCCTCAAGACGAGCGTTGACGTGTTGACTCTTTCAGCCACCCCCATCCCCCGCACGCTCTACATGTCCATGCATGGGTTCAGAGACGCAAGGTGAGACAATGGCAGATGAAAGATGCAAATATATGAGCTCACGCTGTCAGCTACTCCCATCCCCCGCACACTCTACATGTCCATGCACGGGTTCAGAGATGCCAGGTGAGTGCTGCAGCACACTTGCTGCATGCGTGCTTGTGTGTGGTGTCACAACCACAGTGCTTGCACTGTCAGCTACTCCCATCCCCCGCACACTCTACATGTCCATGCACGGGTTCAGAGATGCCAGGTGAGTGCTGATGAAGGCCACCGGCCGAACCGCGCGTACGCTCAGGTTTGAATGACAATTTCTTACCTATTCATTCCCTACTAGCCTAAGCTCAGCCTAGAGGAGATTAGGAAGAGATTAGGACGAGTTACCTGTTGGATCCAGGTCGAAACTGTTTTTCTGTGCTACAAGAGATGCAAGGTGAGTGCTGAACATGCAGCATTCATGCATGTCAGAATCGCACATGCTCATGCTATCAGCTACCCACCCCCATCCCCCGCACACTCTACATGTCCATGCATGGGTTCAGGGACGCAAGGTGAGTGCTGAAGCACACATGCAGCATTTGAACTGAGTTTTGAGTCGACTCAAAAGTCGACTCAAACTTTGAGTCTACTCAAAGGGACGCAAGGTGAGTGCTGAATCACACATGCAGCATTTGAACTGCAAAGCCTAGCTTTACAATCTGTGCTTTCCCCATCGTCCAACCTCCCATTATCCCCAACCCCGTACCCCCTTCCCCATCCTCTTCCCCCCAACTTTCTACCCCTCCCCTCGAGCGGCCCATCGACACACACACCTCTTGATTGAAGAAGTGTTTTGAGACGTCTCAAAACACTTGTTCAATCTCGAGCATCGGCCCATCGACACACACCTCTTGGAGTTCGATTTGGAGAATGTCACAACAGCCCAACCCAGCCTTATTATACTCTGTGCTCCTCTATCCCGCCTCCCCATTCCCCTCCCGTGCGCATCCCTCTCTCCCATCCCACCCCACCACCAGTCGCATCACCACCCCGCCTCCCGAGCGCCAGCCCATTGACACACACCTCTTGGAGTTCGATTTGGAGAATGTCACAACAGCCCAGCCCAGCCCAGCCCAGCCCAGCCCAGCCTTACAGTCTGCGCTCTCCCTATGCCCCTCCTCCCTGTGGCGTTCAGTTTCTCCTCTTCCTCCCCATGCTCCCTTCCCTTCCCCCTTCCACCCCCCCTCTCTCCTCCCACCAGTCGCATCACCACCCCGCCTCCCGAGCGCCAGCCCATCGACACACACCTCTTGGAGTTCGATTTGGAGAATGTCACAACAGCCCAGCCCAGCCCAGCCCAACCCAGCCTTATACTCTGTTCTGTGCTCCTCTTGACATCCTCCCTCCCATTCCCGCTCCCGTGCGCCTTCCCTTCTCCCGTTCTTGACAGTCGCATCACCACCCCGCCTCCCGAGCGCCAGCCCATCGACACCCACCTCTTGGAGTTCGATTTGGAGAATGTCAAGAGAGCGATAGGGGACGAGCTGGAGAGGGGTGGACAGGTGTTCTATGTGGTGCCGAGGGTTGAAGGTGAGTGCTGTACAGTGCATTGCGGTTGAGTGTGGTGGAGTGAGGTACACAGCCATATCATCCCTACTCCCGAGCGCCAGCCCATCAACACACACCTGCTCGAGTTTGATGTTGAGAATGCAATAGGGGAGGAGCTGGAGAGGGGTGGACAGGTGTTCTATGTGGTGCCAAGGGTGGAAGGTGAGTGCTGTTGAACACGGTTGAGAACACCTAGTAGCAATATTCTGTCTGGTTTATGTGATCTGATCTTACATGATGACATGGTCCCTTCTGTCCGTTCTCTACTTATTTTCTTCTCTCCTATTCCAATCCCCTCATGTAAATACTCCTTCTTAAACCCCCTTCCATATCATATCTTTTGATGCCACGTCATATCCCATTGTGCCACGTCACACCAGGCATAGAGGAGATCCAGATGCTTCTGGAGGAGCTCTTCCCTTCAACCCGTGTTGACGTGGCACATGGCAAGGTAAGCTGACGTGGCGCACACTGCATCGTAAGCTTACGAGCTGACGTGGCGCATGCAAGTAAGCTGACGTGGCGCACGGCCAGGTAAGCTGACGTGGTGCAGGTCCCATTCATTTCATTTTCCCCCACCGAGCTCGTAGTGATGGAGCGATTTGAGGAGGGGGAAGTGGACGTGCTGGTGTGAAGAAGGCGTTCAACGCCGAAACCAATTTTTGAGTCAACTCAAAAAAAAATTAGCCTATATTTGAGTCGACTCAAAAAATTTTGAGTCGACTCAACGAAGAAGGCGTTCAACGCCGAAACCGGTTACCATCAAATTCACACAAGCGTGTTCCTACACAAACACCAATATTTTCACCTACTCTGGTGTCCTACTCTAATCACTTGCTGCCACGTATTGAACCATGGCCTCTAAATGTGCACGAGCATCATCACTCTTCCCATCCCCCACCCTCTCCCCCTTCCTCCCTCCCCAACATCCAGCTGCGTCCCACCTATCTCGAAGCAGTGATGGAGCGGTTTGGAGAGGGGGAGGTAGATGTGCTGGTTTGAATGAACACCCACACCCCATCATTCTCTGTCCATTCCCCCTCAACCTTCCCCTTTATCCCCTTTCTCCTTGCCCCTTTTCAGCTTCGCCCCACTGACCTTGAAGCAGTGATGGAGCGATTTGGAGAGGGGGAAATAGATGTGCTGGTGTGCACGAGCATCATTGAGAGCGGGATTGACATTCGCACAGTCAACACGATTGTCATTGAGGATACACACCTGTTTGGATTGGCGCAGATCTACCAGGTGAGGAGGAGAGGTCTGCAAAAGTAAGGATAGGGATATGTAGGAATGACTTCTGATGTATAGTACAAGTCAAGAAACGGGTACGGTACTGAACCATTAACATTCATACATGTCAAGAAACGGGTACTGAACCATTAAAACCCGTACATGTCAAGAGCGCTGACAAAGGCCATCTGGGTCGAAACTACCTTCCTATGTACTGAACCATTAACACCCGTATGATGACAATATGAGAATTCTAAAAAGTTATTACAACTTACTGAGCCATTATTACCCGTACGATGACATTTCTCACATGGTTGATGCTCTACATTGCTCACTGTCCCCTCTCTCCTTCACGCCCTTGCCCCCATCTGTTCCCTCTTCTTGTCCCCTTCAGCTGCGAGGGCGTGTGGGTCGATCCAGCAGTTCAGCCCATGCCTACCTCTTTCATCCTCCCCTGCACTGCCTAACGCCTGAAGCTCAGGTGCGCTTGTGACATCAAGAACTCGATTATGCTATGCCTGACGCGCATCCCCATCACACTGCCCCATGTGCCCTGCACCAACCCCATGCCCCGTGCCCCGTGCCCCATTCCCCATGGCCCATGCCCCATGCTCTGTGCCCCATGCCCCATGCTCTGTGCCCCATGCCCCATGCTCTGTGCCCCATGCCCCATGCCCCATGCTCTGTGCCCCATGCCCCATGCTCTGTGCCCCATGCCCCATGCTCTGTGCCCCATGCCCCATGCCCCATGCTCTGTGCCCCATGCCCCATGCTCTGTGCCCCATGCCCCATGCTCTGTGCCCCATGCCCCATGCTCTGTGCCCCATGCCCCATGCCCCATGCTCTGTGCCCCATGCCCCATGCTCTGTGCCCCATGCCCCATGCTCTGTGCCCCATGCCCCATGCCCCATGCTCTGTGCCCCATGCCCCATGCTCTGTGCCCCATGCCCCATGCCCCATGCTCTGTGCCCCATGCCCCATGCTCTGTGCCCCATGCCCCATGCTCTGTGCCCCATGCGCCATGCCCCATGCTCTGTGCCCCATGCCCCATGCTCTGTGCCCCATGCCCCATGCTCTGTGCCCCATGCCCCATGCCCCATGCTCTGTGCCCCATGCTCTGTGCCCCATGCTCTGTGCCCCATGCTCTGTGCCCACTGCCCCTTGAACCCTGCGCCCTGTGCCCTGCCCCCTGCCCCCCGCATCCCTCCACCCCGCTCCCCCCCCCCCCCCGCCCTCCCCTAACAGGAGCGGCTGAGGGCGCTGCAGCAGCACAGCGGGCTGGGGGAGGGGTACCTGCTGGCGCAGAGAGACATGGACATCCGGGGCATCGGAGACGTGTCTGGGGAGCGGCAGATGCTGCTTCCAGCCCACTCTAAACACACATATACACCCCTCAAAGCCCCCTGCTCCCTGCCTCCTGCCTCCTGCCACGCATGCTCAATGCCCGCCTGCCCCTTGCCATTCCCTCAGGAGCGGCTGAGGGCGCTGCAGCAGCACAGTGGGCTGGGGGAGGGGTACCTGCTGGCGCAGAGGGACATGGACATTCGGGGCATTGGAGACGTGTTTGGAGAGCGGCAGAGCGGGGATGTGGGTGGGGTTGGGTACTACCTGTTCATGGAGATGCTTCACGAGACGCTGACCCGGGTGAGTGGAATACAATACATGACAATGCACCACTGCATCACCCATTCCATTAGTGAATATCGTTATAAATCCGTTTATCAACTCTAAACCTAGGAAACACCTTTACTCGTCTATGTATAACTGCTCCCTTTTGCTGCTCCCTGCTCTCTCTTGCTGTTGGCCTTTCCAGGTGGAACAGAAGAGTCTCCCACGAGTGCAGTTCAAGGAAGTACGGGTACGTACAACTTTTTTGAGTCGACTAAAGAATCAAGGTGACTTTTGAGTCGACTCAAGAGTTACGGGTACGTACGACTTTTTTGAGTCGACTGAAGAATCCTCCAGTGAGTGCAGTTCAAAGACGTATGGATAAGTGCGAGAACCAGGTTATAAGCTGCTGCACCGGGTTATAAGCTGCTGCACCGGGTTATAAGCTGCTGCACCGGGTTATAAGCTGCTGCACCGGGTTATAAACTGCTGCACTGGGTTATAAGCTGCTGCACCGGGTGCGTGATAGATGGTTGCTTTACGGCTAATTCTCTGCCATATGTGCCCCAGGCTGCTGTGCAAGCCAGCCAACCTGCCAACCCTTTTCTCGAGTCCATTAAAGTATCATGGCCAGTGCTTTGGCCACAGTCCCGTGTCACTCTTGGATTGAAAAAAAAAAAACAAAACAAAACAAAACAAAACAAAACAAACTGTCTCAAAATTCATGGCTAGTGCTTTGGTACCATTTCTGCACCATATGTGCTCAAGGCTGCCGTGCAAGCCAGCCAGCCTGCCAACCCCCCTGCCAAATTCTCGCAAGCTACCCAGGAAAAAAGGCGGTGGTAGCATGCATTTATCTCATCCATCAATGCCAGTCCCCTCTCTCCTGTGTGCTTTCGTTCCCTGTTTGAGTATTCCCCTTCTTTCCCCCCTACCAGCTGGACCTGCCTCTCGCCCCGCTGCCCCCCATCCCAGCATCCTATGTTTCCGACGCAGCAGTGCAAGGCAGCCTGCCCATTCAGCGAGCAGGAGGGAAGTTCTATCTCACACCAACCCTGTACCTTCTTCTCCCCCCACCCAAACCCACCAGCTGGACCTGCCTCTCGCCCCGCTGCCTCCCATCCCAGCATCCTATGTTTCCGACGCTGCAGTGCGAGGCAGCCTGCCCAGGGAGGCAGAGGAGGCAGCAGCAGAGGGCATGCCGGCTCTGCTGGCGTTTTGCAGGGAGATGCGCGCCGAGTATGGGGACGAGCCAGCGCAAGTGGAGGTGAGTTGAAGGGAGGAGTGGAGTGCGGTTGGTTGTGCTGGCAGAGAGTGCAGCAGCAGAGGGCATGCCGGCTCTGCTGGCGTTTTGCAGGGAGATGCGCGCCGAGTATGGGGACGAGCCAGCGCAAGTGGAGGTGAGTTGAAGGGAGGAGTGGAGTGCGGTTGGTTGTGCTGGCAGAGAGTGCAGCAGCAGAGGGCATGCCGGCTCTGCTGGCGTTTTGCAGGGAGATGCGCGCCGAGTATGGGGACGAGCCAGCGCAAGTGGAGGTGAGTTGAAGGGAGGAGTGGAGTGCGGTTGGTTGTGCTGGCAGAGAGTGCAGCAGCAGAGGGCATGCCGGCTCTGCTGGCGTTTTGCAGGGAGATGCGCGCCGAGTATGGGGACGAGCCAGCGCAAGTGGAGGTGAGTTGAAGGGAGGAGTGGAGTGCGGTTGGTTGTGCTGGCAGAGAGTGCAGCAGCAGAGGGCATGCCGGCTCTGCTGGCGTTTTGCAGGGAGATGCGCGCCGAGTATGGGGACGAGCCAGCGCAAGTGGAGGTGAGTTGAAGGGAGGAGTGGAGTGCGGTTGGTTGTGCTGGCAGAGAGTGCAGCAGCAGAGGGCATGCCGGCTCTGCTGGCGTTTTGCAGGGAGATGCGCGCCGAGTATGGGGACGAGCCAGCGCAAGTGGAGGTGAGTTGAAGGGAGGAGTGGAGTGCGGTTGGTTGTGCTGGCAGAGAGTGCAGCAGCAGAGGGCATGCCGGCTCTGCTGGCGTTTTGCAGGGAGATGCGCGCCGAGTATGGGGACGAGCCAGCGCAAGTGGAGGTGAGTTGAAGGGAGGAGTGGAGTGCGGTTGGTTGTGCTGGCAGAGAGTGCAGCAGCAGAGGGCATGCCGGCTCTGCTGGCGTTTTGCAGGGAGATGCGCGCCGAGTATGGGGACGAGCCTGCTGCAGTGGATCTGGGCATCTACCGCACTCCAACTCTGCCTCCCTCCCCTCCCACACGCGCCCTGCTCCCCCCCCAACTATCAGCTCCTCTTCAAGAATCTTTTTGTGCGGCGCATGGCGGCCGATTTGGGCATCTACCGCATTCTACAGCGGGAGCAGGGCACAACCATTGTCATGGAAACTGCTATGAAGCTTCCGGCCTTTGAGATCTTACGGGATGCTGTGCAACAGAAGGTTATGCGAGAAGGCCTCTCCTTCCGGTCGGGAAGAGTAGAGGTGAGTTTGGTACTGTCTTCTTATTTCTCTTCTATCGTTTCCCTCATCACCTTCCTCCTGTTGAACGTAAGTGCTATGTTCAATCGTGTGTTTCCTCTGCTGCGATGCATGTGTGTGCAGCTCCAAGGGACGAAGCTTCTGTCGGCAGAGAGAGTATTGGAGCGTGCACTGACCTGCCTGGCCCAGATGCGCAATGCTCTTCCATCGTTTGTGAATTTCTTATAATATGAGAGTTTGTGCTCCTTCACAGTATATGCTCGTTTTGTTACTCTGGCATTTAGGTGTACATGCTTGAGAGTGAAAAGGATTCAGCTCATTGGGACGAACCGCATCGCATACATCCATCAATCTGTGCATTCGTGTGGCTGACGGTTCGGCCTGAAGGCAATTCGTCGCCGTTCAACTGCCTTGCTGACTCACCGTTTGCACTGGGTTCCCACGTGTCCGTCTGTGATGGAGTCACCCTGATCCCCTGCTTGATTTGCTGGCCGACAGCCCCAGAAGCTCTGAATAGGTGGACGGCTCCCAACGAGGATAGGTTTGGGTGGGGTTCGCTCTTTGTCGTGCGGTCCAGGTTGTACTCGGAAAGGAAGGAACAATCCGCAAGTTCAGTTACGCCTCGTCAATCACGGAACTTTTCTCGAACGTCGTCGTTCATCATTGTCCATACCTGGCAACAGGCAACCACTTTGCGAATATGCACGAGGACCGCGAAGCCCATCCTGTCCACTCCACGCTATGTCCTTCCGAAACCGCAGGGCGCGGAACGCAGGACGCGCGGTTGATCATCCCTCTGGCGAGAACACTACGATTCATCTCCCCTATCCCAAAAAGTCACCCACACCATCTTCCCTCCACCCATCATCCATCCATCGAAGAATCACAAAAGATCCAACATTGCGGTAACAATCGTTCTGATACGGTGACAGCTATTACCACTACGAGCAGTGCGGTACAAGCTATTTCGGTCCGGTATTTTCAACTGCGTTGCCACTGAACAGAGGGGTGTCTCCTTTCTTTCAATACAGTATCAGCTTTCCCTTGGCTCCTCAGAAACATTGATTCTAGACAACCGGAGTGTGTTATGGTGATCCCGTGTCGAGAAGCTCACTCTCGTTTCTTACTGAACTAGCGAAGTTCAACGTATCGCTCGTAGACTGTCACTTCGGAAACATTCTCCTGCCCTGACTTTGAGGCAAGAGAGGGTTGGACTAGTGTTTATCGGTGAAGCCCGTTGTTCCGGGTGTGTCCCGTAGCAACGCATTTTGCGGAGTACAGCACCATCGTTATCCTCTTCGCATCCATCGGGCTCAAGTATTCGGTACGTCTTCAGTAGTGTACAGAACTGTTAGCCTGCCGTTGCAGTCCAACCAACGAGCCAGTTACAGCCAGAGGTAGACTCGGGCAGGGCTTACGTGCGTGCATCTTATTCAGGCGCCCCCATAGTGTACTCTTGCTGCAAATTACGTCTCCGTTCGTTTAAGGCGGTGGTATTGAACGGGTGTTTTCCTCAGCATCATCACATACACGCCTCCATAATTTAGTACCCAAGTCTTCCTCTCCTCGCAGCTCCTCCATCGTTCACCTGACTGACAGTCGTCCGCACTTCTGCTCATCCTAAACTCGACGGCCTCAGCTTCCATCTCTACCGCATCGAAATTCTCGAATCTCCTGCATAGAAATTCGTCGCCATGGCCGTCGCCTCGAAATCGTCGCCGTCGCAAGAGTCGTCGCCGGCGTGGAAGAAGACCAAGGAGATGCTTGGAACCTTCGCCACCAGCGGCACAGCCGTCGCGATTTCCACAGCCACCACACATCCCGTCGGTACGTGCTGCTTGCATGCTGCTTGCGTAGGCTTTTCAACTTGTCGATGAGTTACACAAGAATGTGCAAAAACAATCAATCAAACATAACAAACAAACTAGAGGTTATTTTTTTACACAAACAATTAATCTTTTACCGCTTCACCTTGATTCACAACTCCGCTCACTGTTCATCCCCATGACCATCCACTCCCCTCCTTCCCCTCCCCCTCATCAGACGTGGTTAAGGTGCAGCAGCAGATGCAAGCAGTGGGCCAACGCGGCCCCTCCTCCACCATGGTAGCCACCACGCGGAAGCTCCTTCAAGAAGGCGGCGTGCGCGCCTTATACCGCGGCGTCGAGCCCGCCGTCGTGCGCGCCTTATCCTACGGCTGCCTGCGCCTCGGACTGTATGAGCCGTGTCGCAACATGATCGCTCCGAAAGACAAGTCGCAGGTGCATATGGGACATAAAGCCCTCGCGGGTATCATGTCTGGATCGTTCGCTACAGCCGTGTCGAACCCTCTCGATGTCGCGAAAGTCCGGCTACAGATGATATCCGAGACGGCCGCCGGGAGCAGCGCCGCGAGTGCCGCCGTGAAAAGCGCGGGTGCGCGGAGCAGCCGGTCGACGTCGGGGCAGATTCTGGAAATCGCGCGGACGGAGGGAGTCGGCGCGCTGTGGAAGGGCGTAGGGCCGTCCATGGGGCGCGCGGCGGCGCTCACGGCGGCGCAATGCGCGGTGTACGACGAATGCAAGCAGATGCTCAAAGCGCGCGCTAACGTCTCGGACGGTCTGCCTCTTCACCTTAGCGCATCTATGCTTGCGGGCGCCGTTTCGACACTCGCGTCGTCACCCTTCGACACAGTCAAGACGCGCATGATGGCAATCAAGAAATCCTCCGCCGCCGCGTCCGCCGCTTCTTCCGCCTCTTCCGCCGCCCCCAGAGCCCCCCTCCCCCCGTCAGCCGCTTCCCCGTCGATTCCCCCGCAGTCAAATGCTACGATAAGCGGAGCCTCGTCCGCGTTTTCCCCCGTTAACCTCCAAAACCCCGCTCCGCACAATTCTTCCGCCCAACTCCAACCCGCGCTCGCGTACTCTACTTCTTCAGCCTCCCCCGCTCCTTCCGCGCGCCCACCGCCGCTGCCTGCTGCGCGCGGACTGCCCCCGCTGGGCCCTGTGCCCGCTGCTGCGCCCGTGGCGGGCGCAGCTCCGCCAGCGACCGGGGGAGCTGTCGTTTACCGCGGATCTATGCACTGCGCTTACTCGGTGAGTGGTTACTCACACGCCCTTACCCAGTGGGTGAATAATACGTCAGTCAGGTGTTTTGCGTAACAGCACTTACCAAAAATAACTTCGTTGTAACCCATCCCTCGCCTCGACCACTCATGCCTTACCCTCTTCCCCCCTGTTTCCCGTCATTCCCCGTTACCTGCAGATTCTCCGCACGGAGGGTATCCGCGGGCTTTACAAAGGTTGCGCCGCGAATTACGCGCGCCTGGGCCCCATGACCGCCATCACCTTCATCGTCTACGAACAACTGCGATCCCTTGCTGGGCTGTCCAGCTTGTAACCCTACTCGTTGACTGCGCGACTGGTCGTCGTCTGCGAGCAACTTCGCCCGCCCCTAGTCCTGCGATGGCAAGCTTATAGCGCGGATTGTACACGCGTGCGCTTCAGATTTTTCCTGCAAGGCCGCGAGAATAGCCTATGGCGAAATTATATCCACCAAATAAGGTCCTCAGCGTTCGTTGTACCGTGCATGCTAAACGGTATGCACAAATATTATGATTTCGCTATTAACCTGTCAATGTCTAGTCTGGCTGGCAAAGAGAATTTGGCTTGTGATAATTTGGTAGAAAGGCAGAAAGAATCCATGTAAAGCAGTAGATGGCTAATGCTACCACACCACAGCCGGGAAAGAAGGGAAAATATGCCACAGGTAACCAACTTGGGACTTGATAACGTGAATGGTTAAAAAAAAACGCGTACGGTCACTGTATTAAGTTTCCTGACAAGTTCGGTAAGCGGGGTCACGGATTCAGTCACTAACAACAGGTAGGTAAGAAATCACGCGAATGATCAAACATGAAACTCCCGCCAAAAAAACTTGAAACTCAACAAAATTCCCGCTCGCGCCCAACCAATCTGCGAACTTGTAAAAAAACTAAATCACAATCGGAATCGGATGCGGTTTGAAAACGGATCAACCCTAAACACCTGGCGAGAGTTTTTGGGTTTCATTTTGTTTTGGCGGGAGTTTCATCTGTGACTATTCGCGTTTTTTTTTACCAGTTGATTGTGACTGATTCCGTGAAACGCTTTATCAGTCGCGTGAAAACACCCTTTGCAGTGACCGTACCCTTCATTTTTTTACCAAAAATGTTTTCGAGTCCCATGATGGTTACGAATGGCATATTTTCCCGGGAAAGAAGAACCTTTTGTTGAGTTGGTACAGCTTTATCAATTACACTCTTGAAAGTGTATCAGCTTACGGCATGTAACAAAACAATTCATCAGGAACACTTATACCATATATCCATTTCATGCTGGATCATACCAGCGTGTATCGATAGCCTAGGTACTGTATGTAGGGTAGCCATCACCGTAGATGGAACCCCAGACAAAAATACACTAGATTAGGCTAGAGCAGTGTTTGTTCAGAGAAAAGCAAATGATTGGAGAGCAGCTAGCAGCTGTGAGTTCATTATAGGCCACCGAGCCTCGGTGCACGACGCTGTGATGACATAGAGGTAGCCTGGAGTGGGGAATGGAGGGGAATAAAGTGGGGGGTGGGGTGGGAGATGGGGGAGGGGAGGGAGGAATGCACTGCAGCTGTGAGTTCATTATCGGCCACCGTGCCTCGGTGCACGATGCTGTGATGACATATAGGTAGGCTGCAAAGAGAGGAGTAAGGGAGAAGTGTGGGGTGGGGTGAACGAAGAGTTGAATTTCTTGCAGCTGTGCGTTCATTATTGGCCACCGTGCCTCGGTGCACTTTTGAGACGTCTCAAAAGTCATTCTTGGCCACCGTGCCTCAGTGCACGATGCTGTGATGACAAAGAGGTGGCCTGGATAAGGAAGGAAGGAGGGAGAAGTTCAGGGTGGAGCGGAAGGGGGGAGGAGAAAGGGAGAGGGGGAGGGGGGAGAAAAAGCTGAGTGCATTGCAGCTGAGTGCGTTGCAGCTGTGCGTTCATTATTGGCCACCGTGCCTCGGTGCATGATGCAGTGATGACGTAGAGGTAGCCTGTAGGGGTGAGATGGGGGAAGAAGTGGGGAGTGGTGTGGGGGCAGGGGGAGTGGGTGAAGAGTAGAATGCATCGCAGCTAATGACATTGAGGCAATGTGGAGTGGGGGGATGGAGGGCGAGGAGGGATTGAAGAGGGCGGGAAGAGTGTAAGCGTTTCCAGGATCCAAGCACACTCACACCCACACACACACAAATTATTTGCCACCGTTCCTCGGTGCACGATGCTGTGATGAATAGGGTAAAACCTCAAGGGGAGGGGAGATGAAGATGTGGGGGTGGGGAGGGTGTAAGTGCGCTTGGGACAGGAGTGGAAGAAGTTGACAGGATGTGGTTGTCTGTGCTGACTTACCATGCTACCATCATGCGTGCACCATGATGTGATGGCATAGAGGAAATTGTGGAGGATTGCGTGGGAGGGAGGGGGGTCATGTGAAAACTAGTTTTGAGGCGCCTCAAAATTGGTCATGTGAAAATTAGTTTTGAGGCGCCTCAAAACTGGTCATGTGAAAACTAGTTTTGAGGCGCCTCAAAACTGGTGATGTGAAAACTAGTTTTGAGGCGCCTCAAAACTGGTCATGTGAAAACTTGTGATGACATAGAGGTAGCCTGGAGTGGGGAATGGAGGGGAAAAAAGTGGGGGGTGGGGTGGGAGATGGGGGAGGGGAGGGAGGAATGGACTGCATGTGTGAATTCATTATCAGCCACCGTGCCTCGGTGCACGACGCTGTGATGACATAGACGTAGCCTGGAAAGAGAGTAAGGAAGAAGTGTGGGGTGGGGGGAAAGAAGAGTTAAAATCATTGCAGCTGTGCGTTCACTCTTGTCCGCCCTGCCTTGATGCTCGGCGCAGTGATGACAAAGAGGTAGCCCGGAGGGGAGATGTGGGGAAGAAGTGGGGGAGTGGGTGGGGGGAGGGGGTTGCGGGTGGTGCATTGCAGCAGGGTGCTCATTTCGGGCCGCCGTGCCTCGGTGCACGCCACAGTGATGACGTAGAGGTAGCCTGGAGGAGAGATGTGGGTAAGATTGGGCAAATGGGCTACCAGCACAGGTGTGAGACAGGAGACAGCAAATGGACTTACGAGGGAAATGATTGATCAGCATACCTTCTGACAGGAGTATCCGGCCTATGTGGCGGCGCACGATTGGCTGAACAAGATCGGCCCCTCGCACTGACACACACTCACCCACGCCCCCCTTCCCCTCCTCTATCCGCCCTCTGCACGTCTCCGTTATCACACTGCAGTGGTGGGTGGAAGGGGGGGGAAGAACAGGCGGGGAGAGGAAGGTCAGATGTTGTTTTGATCAGACACGAACTCCCCCTTCCCCTCCTCTATCCTCCCTCTGCACGTCTCAGTTATCACACTGCTCGGTTGGGTGAAGAGGAGAGGAAGGAAGAAGGTGGCAATTTGATTCAACGGTTGCAGATCCGTATTCATCAAGATTGTGTCTCCGTTACCACACTGCAGGGGGGTGAGCTTTTGAGGCGCCTCAAAAAGGAAGAAGGTGGCAAATTGATTGTGTTTCATTAAGAGTGTGTCTCTGTTACCACACTGCAGTGGGATGGGTGAAGGGGGGAGGATGAAGGTATATTAGAAGCATCATATTTCCTTTAACAAATATGCACTCCCCTCATTCCCTCCTCTATCCTCCCTCTGCACGCCTCCGTTATTACACTGCAGTGATGGGTGAAAATGAGAGGACAAAAGAACATTAAAAGCAGCAAGTTCAACTCCTTACAACAAACAGGCACTCCCCTCTTTTCCTCCTCTATCCTACCTCGGCACGTCTCCGTTATCACACTGCACAGAGGGGCGGAAGGGAGCAGACAGAAGCACATTAAAGGTTGAACGAGGTCTGTCCCTTGCCCTGATACACACCTCACGCACACCCCCCTTCCCCTCCCCCTCGCACTGATACACACCTCACCCACGCCCCCCTTCCCCTCCTCTACCCTCCCCCTGCACGTCTCCAGAGGGGTGAAAGGGAGCGGACAAAGGTTGAGCAAGCCAGACGTGGAGCTGAGGAAGAAAATCGGCTGACGAGGAGGAGGAGAGTCTACTGACAATGACAAGGGGAGAATGAAAAGCTACTTAGCCAAATGACGATACCACTTAGCTATTCAGCTCTCTATTATTAAAAATCGGGACCCGGGATCCGTACTTACTCGAAACTGAGTCCGGCAGGTGATGCCAGGGCGGAGAGGATCTTTTGGAGATCCAGAGGAAGCTCTATGATTGGCTGGTTGGGGAACACCGTGTCCTCCACCAATGAGGTGCTCAGATTCTGGATGGAAGACAGAGAGAGGGAGTGTAGGGAGAGAGACCAAAGCAAAGGAAGAGAGACAAGAATGGGGGCGTAGAGTGGGGAACACCGTGTTCTCCTCCACCAATGAGGTGCTAAGATTCTGGATGGTGGTGGGAGGAAGAGAGAGAGAAAGCGGAGAAATACAGAAAATAAAGGAAGAAAATAAAAACGAATGGGAGCGACGAGCGGGGGTTTAAGTAAGCGCACAAAATGGGACTGTGATGCTGGAAAAGGGGTATTTTCAGTGCACCAGAGAAGAAGGAAAAGGGAGTAGAGGAGAGGCATCTAGGAAGTATCAAGACTCACCCCGTTGGGCAGGATACGTTGGACTAGGGGAATGATATTGTATGGAGGTGAGAATCTCTAGAGGAAGTCATTTAAAGAAAAAACCTCACATCAAGTATGAAGGCTCACCCTGTTGGGCAGTATGCGTTGGATGAGAGGAGCAAGCTTGTCAAGGGGTGGAGGTTTCTGAGGAAATTTCATATATACATAAATAATCTCAGCAAGTATGAAGGCTCACCCCGTTGAGCAAGATACGTTGGATAAGAGGAGCGAGCTTGTTGGGGTTTGGAGAGGCGAGACGAGGCGAGGAGTGAGTGGGAGAATGCGAGCCTTAGAGGAGCGAGTGTTGAGACTCACCCCGTTGAGCAAGATACGTTGGGATGAGAGGAGCGAGCTTGTTGGGGTTTGAAAAGGTGAGGAGACGAAGCGTGAGTGAGGAGGATGGGCGGCGATGAGTGAGGAGGATGGGCGGCGATGAGTGAGGAGGATGGGCGGCGATGAGTGAGACTCACCCCATTGGGCAGGATGCGTTGGATGAGAGGAGCGAGCTTGTCGGGGTTTGGAGTGAAGGCATAGCGAATGACACTCATCTGATGTGCGGGGAGGGAGGGAGGGGGGAGGGGAGGGGAGGGAGAAAGGGAACAAACAGAGGGAATAGCGGAGGTGAGGTGAGTAAAGTCACGAGCTTTCATTGAGTCAGGCCAAAGTACACACAACAAAAAGGGAACCCATCCACCAGGTCGAAGGTGACAAAGTTGCAAACGACTGCTAGGGCCTGAGAGCCATCTACTGTGCTGCTGTGAGGCTGATGTTAAAGCAGCAGGCGTGTGCGGAGGAAGGGGAAGGGGAAGGGGAAGAGGAAGACCCACCGTGTCGAAGGTGACAAAGTTGCAGACGACTGCTAGGGCCTGAGCGCCATCTGCTATTTATCATGCGAAGTAGCACCATCTAGCCGAACAGTCACACAAGAGGGGGGCGGGGGACCCAGGGGGGGGGGGGGATGACACCTACCGTGTCAAAAGTGACAAAGTTGCCCACGACTGCTAGGGCCTGAGCGCCGTCTGCTGTGAGTGGGGCGTCTGCTGGGTCGTTCTTGCGGTTCTGGTGGTTAAGTATAGCACATAGGCAGGTAGGGAAGGGGGAGGGGCGAAGGGAGGAGGAGTGGGGTTGGAGGAAATACAGGGGACCAATGCTAGGGCCTGAGCGCCGTCTGCTGTGAGTGGGGTATCTGCTGGGTCGTTCTTGCAGTTCTGAAGGGACGGATGATGCACAGCAGAGGGGGGGAGCGGGGGGAGGAGGGGGGAGCGGGGGGAGGAGGGGGGAGCGCGTGGGGGTTAGAAGCAGGGGGGCTGAGCGCCGTCTGCTGTGAGTGGGGTGTCTGCTGGGTCGTTCTTGCGGTTCTGGTTGAGGTGGCAGCAGGGCATATGGGGGGAGGGTGGGAGGGCGGAAGAAGAATGGAGGAGGAAGAAAGGTATGCGGCCTAATCTCCTGCCACGTGCAATAGAGGTGACCTTGAGTCGATGGGGTCGTATCGTATGATGCCGTTTAAGTTTTCACGCTTTCATGTAAACAGGTGACTTTTGAGTCGACTCAAAAGTCACCTCCTTATGGGGTCTCATGATGTTTACATGATAACGTTTAGGTGTTCACACTCTCATGTAAACATAAGTTCCTGTGCTTAGAATTGTGACACTACGGTAGCGACGTTACACTACTGAAGTGCAATGGTGACAGTAACAAGAGATTTGGTACTGCTCTGCATTCAGGTACAGAAAGGAGACACTAGATAGTGCTGTGCATTCAGGCACGTACAATCGTGACTATATAGAAGGACGGGTGGAGAAAGGAGACACTAGATAGTGCTGTGCATTCAGGCACTTACAATCGTGACTATATAGAAGGACGGGTGGAGAAAGGAGAAACTAGATAGTGCTGTGCATTCAGGCACTTACAATTGTGACTATATAGGAGGACGGGTAGAGGAAGGAGAACCCGAACGCGCTCTCAATAAGCTTCCAGGAAGCAGTGTCCACTCCAGCACCAGCAGTTGTTGGTGCCGGCGAGGCTGCTGTGGCTGGGAGGGACAATGGGGTATGAGGAATCCAGGGAGGGAGAAAAACGAAAACAAGAGCCTAACAAACGAGAAATTATATCCTTCTTTCCCCACCTTTTTTCCCTCTCCCTCCATTCCCCAAAACCCCACACAGTTGTGACTAGTACCAAAAACGCTCTTGTGTGTGAGTGTGTGACAATACCGAGGGCTGCAGCCGCTATTGTGCTGTGCTGGTTCCTATCTGTGATCTTGCTACACTACCACTACCAGCTTCAATGTGACAATACCTGCGTTGCCGATTGGAACAGTAAAAGCGCCTGGTGTGACAATAGCGAGGGCTACGGCCGCTAGGCCGCTGCCTGTACCAGCCATCACCCCCCGCCGCGTCCAATAGTTTCCTGCCACCTGGCAATCATTTGCATCCTGGCCATCCACACTGTAACGATCCTCGATACAAGCCTCCTCGTTGGAACATTCCTCGCGACGGGCCTTTGCCGAAATTACCAAACGCGACGTACGGAACTGCCGCGTTGACGACCGAGACACGTGGCACGAGGGGATTGGTGAGGAGGAGAGGTGGAAAGTCCCGCGATTCCTGGTAACGCGCGAGGAGACGGTAGGCCCTGATAAGGAGACTGAACCATTGGTAAGAGCCGTCACTGATAGCCGAACCGCCATCGATGCTAGCTTCCTGATACGGAAGCTGACACGGTTCAGTCGGGGGACTCGGAGACCAGGAGTGCGGTGTCAGACCTTATGGCCAATAATTTTTTTGGCGATTTTTTTTGGCGCGAAAAAGGTGGACCCCAGGGAACGAGATGATCCCAAGGGTCGCGGGGACGGTTTGGATCAAAAGGCAAGATCGGGAGGATTTGAAGCAGATTTGGATTGCATTACAATCAATGAGCCGATAATGGCTGGTGCGTTAGCGACAAAATGACATAGACACTTGAAATACACGTACGAATAGTGGCTAAAGAATGGGCTACCTAGCCTATTCTATACCTGCAAGTCTCTCTTTCAGAAATGTGTTCATGAAATCAATGTGAATGCCCACCAAAGCCCGAGCCCAACAGCCACCTCTAACCCCACCCTTTTCGCCACACGCACGGCCATTCCCCCTTTTCCCAACTCCTTTTCATCCGATGCACTGGCTCCGATTAACTGCTTAAATCGCAGTGTTCTTTGCTCGTTATCTTGCAACAAATAGTGTACCACGCCAGGCAAGTGCCCTCGCCCCACCACGCCAACCACTCTGTCACAGCCTCTCACAGCCTTGCTCCGTTTTAAGGCCCATGCTAGATACTGTAGAGGGGACAAGTAACCGAGGGGAGGATGAGGGTTGGGAGAAAGAGGGGGAGGATGATGGCAAGTTCCAAAACTGAAACATGCGAGCGCAGGAATGGGTGGCAGCAAGGCTGAGAAAAAACTTGAGTTTTGTGAGACAGGCAGTAATGTGAGACAGGCAGTAATGTGAGATAGGCAGTAATGTGAGAGAGGCAGTAATGTGAGAGAGGCAGTAATGTGAGAGAGGCAGTAATGTGAGACAGGCAGTAATGTGAGACAGGCAGTAATGTGAGACAGGCAGTAATGTGAGACAGGCAGTAATGTGAGAGAGGCAGTAATGTGAGAGAGGCAGTAATGTGAGACAGGCAGTAATGTGAGACAGGCAGTAATGTGAGACAGGCAGTAATGTGAGACAGGCAGTAATGTGAGAGAGGCAGTAATGTGAGAGCAGAGGCAGTAATGTGAGAGAGGCAGTAATGTGAGAGAGGCAGTAATGTGAGAGAGGCAGTAATGTGAGAGAGGCAGTAATGTGAGAGAGGCAGTAATGTGAGAGAGGCAGTAATGTGAGAGAGGCAGTAATGTGAGAGAGGCAGTAATGTGAGAGAGGCAGTAATGTGAGAGAGGCAGTAATGTGAGAGAGGCAGTAATGTGAGAGAGGCAGTAATGTGAGAGAGGCAGTAATGTGAGAGAGGCAGTAATGTGAGAGAGGCAGTAATGTGAGAGAGGCAGTAATGTGAGAGAGGCAGTAATGTGAGAGAGGCAGTAATGTGAGAGAGGCAGTAATGTGAGAGAGGCAGTAATGTGAGAGAGGCAGTAATGTGAGAGAGGCAGTAATGTGAGAGAGGCAGTAATGTGAGAGAGGCAGTAATGTGAGAGAGGCAGTAATGTGAGAGAGGCAGTAATGTGAGAGAGGCAGTAATGTGAGGCAAGTTTGGAATGCCAACTCACCGCATCCCTCTCATGCACCAGTGGCCCGATGAGCGTAGGAAACTGCCGTGCAACTTCCTGAAAAACAGCCGACAAAAACTCGACCTCTTCCTCTCCCTCCGCGTCGTCCTTCTCTACCACTCCCCCACTCCCCACAACATCTCTATCCATATTTAAACCCTCCATCCCTTGACCATTAGTAGAGTCACGCTGTCTTGAGAACGCTCCTTTCAACTCGCTCTGCTCCAGAGAGCCCCCCTTCAGCCCGCCTTGCAGGAGAGCAGAGGCGAGGCGAGCGCGGTCGAGAAGAGAAAGGGCCTTCCATGCACGGCGCAGCTGGGGGGAGGGGAGGGGAGGGGAGTATAGGGGTGAGGAGAGGGGAGGGGGGAAGGGGAAGAGGGCATATTGATTTGCCAAGCCAAACCACATGCAGACGAAACGAGGCAAGTGCGGTCGAGAAGAGAAAGGGCCTTCCATGCCCGGCGCAGCTGGGGGGAGGAGAGGGGAGGGGGGAAGAGGAAGAGGGCATATTGATTTGCCAAGCCAAACCACATACAGGCGAAACGAGGCAAGCGCGGCCGCGCAGAGAGAGGGCCTTCCATGCACGACGGAGCTGGTGAGAGGGGCAGAGGGGAGACGAGAGGCGAGCATGTGGAGGAACCCAAGGTCATGCCCCTTACGCCATTCTCGAACAAGTTTAAGAGAGAAAGAATTTCTTCCCTTTTTTTGACAGTGCCATAGAACCTTACCCCGTCGTACAGCGTAACCGTTACCAGCAAGTCGTGGTGTACAAATCGTAGTGATCTAGTTTTGAGGCGCCTCAAAACCAGTGCCATAGGACGTCACCCCGTCGTCCTACAACGTAACCGTTACAACTTACGCGCAAGTCGTGGGGTACAAATCGTAGTAATGGACTTATTGTGATGACCAGAAGGAATGGAAAGACCACTCACAGTGATTTCGATTGGTCGATCTCCCAGCACCATCTGTGCCCCAATCGCATCTGCAGCCTCCCTTGCTGCACGGAACTAGACGGGAGAGGGTCAATGGAAGCGGAGAGCCGAACGGGAGGGCTGATGGTTTGATTGGAAAAGAACGGTAAAAAGGAAGCTGTGGTGACATGAATCAATCCCATTCGACTTTTTAGAATTCTCCAAGACCACCTTGGAAAAAACAAACAAGAAAAGAGCTGTGCTGACATGAATCAATTGCGTTTGAATCCTTTCTTGCTGCCCCCTTCTGATATCACCTCACGCCTTCCCCCTCTCTTTAAGTCACCTCATGCCCCGGTTGCACGCCGACTGCTTGGGCGGACCGGCGAGACACAAAAGAGAGGAGCAGGCGCAGCAGCAGGCTGGACTGACCTCCTGGAATGTGGGTTGGGGATGTGGGGAGAGAGAGGAGGTTAGCGATTGGAGGTTAGCGATTGGAGGTTAGCGATTGGAGGTTAGCGATTGGGAATGAGAGAGAGGAGGCTAATGATTGGGAATGAGAGAGAGGAGGCTAATGATTGGGAAGAATCTAATTGGGGGATTAGGAGAGAGAAAAGAGAGAAGGAGACGCAGCAGAAGACTGGACTGCCCTCCTGGTATGTGGGTTGGGGGTTGGGGAAAAAACGGGAAAGGAGAAGTGATGGAGATGAGAAGGCTTATGGTTGAAAACGGAATGCATGGAAGAAAATGGTAAAGGGTAAGAGTGGGGCTCCCAGGATGAATGATGAGGTCAAGGTGATGGAGGAACGGAGGAATCGCTTTCGAAATTTTTCATAAGTAAATTCAGCAGAGGTGATGGAGGAGAGATACTTTTGAGGCACCTCAAAACTAGAATTCTCACAAGTGATTCCAACCAACAGAGGTGATGGAGGAGAGATGGAAACGGAATGCATCAGGCTGAAAAGACAACCACAGAAGGCAGCAGTGCAAATCAAGCTGGATGCTGTGTTGCGCATGAGCGTCTGAGGCAGGGTGGCCCCTCCCATAAGAGAGAAATTAGGGGAACACGATGCGTGGAGGGACAAGGAAGGAAGGAAGGAAGGAAGGAAGGAAGGAAGGAAGGAAGGAAGGAAGGAAGCAGTACCAACCGAGCTGGATGCTGCGCATGAGCGTCTGAGGTAGGCTGGCTCCTCCCATGAGGAATAGATCGCGAGCAGGAGCAGCAGCAGCACCCGTGGCATCAGAGCTTGGCACTGAGAGCTGGTTGGGGTCCGGTACAGGGTCGTACATTATGGGTGCTCTGCAACACATAGGAAGGGAAAGTGAAAAAAGAGAATAAGAACAAGCAATTTTTCTCCAGAAATTAACAAAAAAAAGGATTTATCAAGACCTGTTACAAATGGTATATAATTATACATTATGGTTGCATATCCTTGCTTTTCCTTAGCAAACACATTCTGCCGCTGAACACCCTGCGCCAACGCCAACCTCCTGACATCCTCGTTTTGAAGCGCCTCACCATATGCTGGAAGTAGCACTACAGTGAACCTGCTTTTGCACAGCTCCACCACCACGTTCTGAGGCTGCACGCTCCGCACCACGCGCACGGCGTCCTCGCTTCAAAGTGCCTCAAAACAAGCTCGAGATTATAATACAGTATACCTGCTAGTGCGCGTACCTGCTTTTACACAGCTCCACCACCACGTTCTGAGGCTGCACGCTCCGCACCACCCGCATGGCGTCCTCACCAGCCGTTTCCGACACGTGCGTCGTGCCGAGAATAAAGATCTCGCGAGGTAACCGCCGGCTGCTGCTAGTATCAGTACCGGCGCCTGCTTCGTCGTCCTCTACTGGTTGCTGCACCACTACGAGCACGCCACGTCGGACCAGATCCATCAAATCCGGGTATCGCTCGGCGACAATGCTGTATGTCGTTTCCGCTGTGGCTTTCCGGTAGTCGAAACCCAGCACGGGTGGCTCTGGCCATGCTGACGTGTCTTTCTGTGCTGACGTGGCGGCTTGTGGAGAAGTGGTGCCTTTTAACCTGGATAACGAGGACGCACGCACCCGAATGGCTGAAGAATCTGAAACTTTTGAACCAGTAGGAGATCTTGAAATGGTTCGGCATGGGTATAGTGACTTGGGATTCCTGACGTCTGCATTCCCGAAGAGATGTGAAGGTTTCGCTAATCTGGTCGAATTCAGGTTGTGTGCGCTGTCTCGCGTACGGTTCGCTTGTTTCGCGAGTCCAGTGAATTTCAGACTGCGATCGGCAGTCGCGATAGGGGGAAGCTGAAGCGCAGCCATGGCTAGTGCGCTGCCGCTTTGACCTGTGAAGACTAGTTTGTGAAGTGAAGCATCTCTTCTTGTCGCCTGCGAACAACTCGTCGGTTTCGCAAACCCTGTTGCCTTCGCTAGCGAAGCCGGAGCGCCAGTGGTCTGATGTTTTAGGACGCGTCCTATCCGCACCGATCGTCAGTTCGAGCCTAGGCTCGGTGATATCGGTGCCCAGGACTGCGCAACTACGGCGCACCGATATACAGGTGACAGGCTCGGTAAGGCAGGTTTCGGGGTTGAGGTACACCCAACCTGCGACAACAGCTAGGTTGTCGCGAGTATAGGTCGCACATGGAAATCCACTGTATGCGACGTCGTGCAGTAACAATGCGACGACGAGCGAAGGAGATCGATTTTGACTGTCACTCGTGGCGCGAAATTCCACACCGCGCCAAGCAATCTCACGATCGATATGTGCACTTCGCTACATCGATTGGGGCTCCCGTAAGTGACAGGGTCGGGGAACTTTGTTTACTGTACATTCGTAAACATCGGCGAGATTAGTTACCTTGTTGATTACGACGCTACAATTCTACACCCCACGCGCAAAACCGATCTTCCAGCCGATTGATCCGCTTCAGGGGACGCGTCCTTAGCCAGAACAATCCACTACACCCTGTTTCTCATTACACTGAACTGTGCCCAAATGGTGGAAAACCTTGTTATCTTTGATTTATCTGAATGAACCATACCGAGACTTAATCTAACCACAGTTAACCGTGCTTTTCCCATCTTGACTTCACTATAACCGAATTCACAATGGCGAGAAAGAGGGTGTAGTTTTTTTATCCCGTCACCACAAGCATCGGATTATGTACCACTAGTATGCTGTAACTAGTATGTACCGGATACAAGCTCGCTCCTTTGTTATAATGTGTGGAGTGACGAAACGAGTTGTGTATAACATATGATTTATTGTCAGCACGACAAGTCCACGATACTTTATGTGGACAACCAGCGACCTGGGGCGGTGAGGAAAAAACTATGGTGACTAGACGGTGGCTGCCGGTGGACCTGACCTGGAATCAGCTTTGAATCACCAAACGGAAACATGAGGCTGGTACGGTGTTGCGTTATCGTACGCTGTAATGATGCCGGGTGGTAACTAAGCAATGTCATTTCTGTTGATCGCAGAACGTCGTCAGGCGGAAATTACTCAACTGTAGCCGCCGTGCGAAAGACGGTGACATTCGCTGATCGAGTCGCGTCGGAAGCACGTCCGCCGCTCTTGATCACAAGAAAGTCAGAGCCAAACAGCAAGCCGCCACTCCACGATGTTTGTGACGAAAACAAAAAACGATTGACCGCGACTTCAGAAACCTGGCGGCCCAAACCTGCGAACATTTTCCTCCTCAGAACCCTCGATTTCTCCTCCAGGTTCCGTCGCGAGGCATCTCATCGTGAGCTCACGCGAAAATCTTGCTAGTTGCAAGAATACCGTCCAAGTTTCCTTCTTTTCTCTCGCCTTCCCGACTCAGGCTCCGTGGCGTGCCGCGCGATGCGGTTCCTGTAAAGGGGACAATAGACCCACGACGCTAGCATATCGCCTCTGAAACGCCTGTAAATGATTAGGTCTACTACACTGACCCTCTCTACACAATCATTGTTACTGTCAATTTCACTTCGACTAGGACGGGTCAGACACTCTCTTGCCCGGTCCGCAGTCAGTACCTTTTTCGACAGTATCTCTTTCGAGTATCTCTTTTCCAGAGTTGTATTTGCCACGTCGATCCCGTTGGCTTACCGCCCAGTGTCACAAATTTCGAGGCGGCCGTGCAAATAAACTTCGTAACCTGGTAACCCTCGCTCGCTTACTCTCTTGGTAGAACATCCTAGTAATCGGGTACAGAATGACGGTCGACGATGGCGCTAGATGGTCGGCGGTAACCAGCAGCAGAGGGTGCGAACTCAGACAAGTTCGCGACAGCACCAGCGACTGCAGCAGACTCGTTAATTCAGGAGGCGACTCGCAACCGTGCTGTTCCTATGCGCGCGACACGACGGCGGCGAGAGGCGACTTCGTCCAACGAGGTCCTAGGCTATCCGAGTCGCAACTCACGACTAGCGCACTCTCTCTACCCTTCTCGATTTCGGACTCCGAGATGAGCTCAGGCTTGGAGTCAGGCTTGGGGTCAGGCTTGGGGTCAGGCTCGGAAATAGGCTCGGCCTCGGGCATGTCAGGCTCGGCGGTTCAGCAGGGTGCTGCAGGCGCCGTGCGGCGGCCCTGCTCCGGGTCGGTTCGCCGGCCGTATTCCTCGCTGCTGCTGCTGCCCGTCCTGTTGTTGCTGCTGGCCGCGTCGCCCACTCCGCCCGTGCTAGCCGTTGACATGAACAGCGCCCAGGGTAAGTCTCAGGTTGCGATAAGCTCAGGCTCAACATTTACCGTGACTGGGCTTTGAGTCGACGGGAAAACGTCGGGTTCGCCCGTGTTAGCCGTTGATATGAACAGCGCCCAGGGTAAGTCTTAGGTTCGCGATGACCTCTGGCTCAGCACAAGCTTGTTGTGATTGGGTTTGAGTCGACTGAAAATGGTCAGCTCCGCCCCTGTTAGCCGTTGACATGAACAGCGCCCAGGGTAAGACTCCGGTTGCGATGATCTCTGGCTCAGCAGAAGCTTTATTGAGATTGGGTTTGAGTCGACTGAAAATCGTCAGCTCCGCCCGTGCTAGACGTGTCAGTAACGGACAGGTGGGCTGCGGAGGCCTTACTTCCATCAACTCGTATGGTTCTAGTCGACTGAAAATCGTCAGCTCCGCCCATCCCTCCTCCCAATGTTTCGGGTCGAGCACGCGAATACGATTCGCCTTTATTTGTCCCGCCTCCCGGTTTCCTCCCCCCGTGCCTTGTTTCTCCCCCCGCCCCGTTCCTCTTTTCCCCCAGTGGCGGCGCTGATAGGGATGCGCGTGGCCTTGGGAGTGACGGGGATGCAGTGGTGGCGCACCAGCGGGATTGGTTCACTTCTTCGCTCCCCCAACAACCCCTCTCCTCCCCCCATCTCTCCGCTCCCGATTTCCCTCAGTGGCGGCGCTGATAGAGATGCGCGTGGCACTGGGAGTGGCGGGCATGCAATGGTGGCGCACCAACGGACTTCCGCAAACTCTTATTCATCCCCTCCACCCGCCCCTCTCCCACGCCCCTTCCCGCCCCCCTTCCCCCACGCTTTCCGCCACTCCCAGCGTTGGCGCTGATAGAGATGCGCGTGGCCTTGGGAGTGACGGGCATGCAGTGGTGGCGCACCAACGGGAAAGTCGTGTGCGGCGCGTGGATAGGCGTCGAGTGCGACACCAGGGGGAACGTCGTCTCCGTGTAAGGGGCTTGAAAGGGGACAGCTTGTAGCGGGGATATTAGATGTGTGCAGACGGGCATGCAATGTTGGCGAACCAACGGGAAGGTGGTCTGCGGCGCGTGGATAGGCGTCGAATGCGACACCAGGGGGAACGGCGTCTCCGTCCGTGTAAGGGGGCTAGCTAGTAACGAGAATAGTCGGTTTCGCAGTGAATGCTTTGGGGTCTGGTTTGGTGGATTGCTTGCGGCGCTCGCTGCTGAAAATGTTGCTAATTTGTGCTATTTTTCCCCCATGTCGTGTCGTGTTGCGACTGTTCTGCAGCATGGCTTACAGCGTGATTACCGTATCGGGTCTCCTCTTGAGGCGCCTCAAAAGGCGCTCGCTGCTGAAAATGTTGCTAATTTGTGTTATTTTTCCCCCATGCCTTGCGTTGTGACTGCAGCACGGCTTACAACGTGATTTATATCAGGATCGACCGGGTTTCCAAGATTTATATCAGGATCGATGAAATGGTGTGCAATCATGTGTGCTATTTTTCACCCCCATGTCGTGTCGTGTCGTGTCGTGTCGTGTTGTGTTGTGTTGTGTTGTGACTGCAGCACGGCTTACAACGTGATCACCGTACCGGGCCTCCTCCCCAGCAGCTTCACCAAGCTCAAAACCCTCACCTACCTGTACGTGCTCTCTCCCTCGCCGCTCGGCCCTTACCTCTATTTGTACGTGCTGAAAAAACCCTTACCAACCTGTTCGTCCTCTGCTCGCCTCTGCTTCTCTCCCCTCCTCCTCCACTCCCTCTCCCCCTTCCCCTCTCCCCCTTCCCCCCTCCCCCTTACCCCTAAAGGACCTGCCCTCCAACCGCCTTAATGAGCCATTAGTCCAATTCGCGCGGCCCCTGCGGCACCTCCTATCTGTTTCCCTTTTCTCCTCCCCCTTCCTCCCCCTTCCTCCCCCTTCCTCCCACTTCCTCCCCCTTCCTCCCCCTTCCTCCCCCTTCCTCCCCCTTCCTCCCCCTTCGTCCCCCGTGTTTCTCTCTTCCCTCCTCCCCTTCCTTACTCCCCCGTCCCCCACAGCAATCTCTCCTCCAATCACCACAACGCGTCACTTGACCAATCCGTTCCCCCCCTTGCTGCACCTCCCATCTGACCGCCCCCTACCCCATTCCCCTCTCCCCCCTCTCTCTCACCCTCCTCCCCCGCAGCGATCTCTCCAATCGTCTCAACGCATCGCTCGACCAATTCGCGCGGCCCTTGCGGCACCTCCCATCTGTTTCCCTTTTCTCCTCCCCCTTCCTCCCCCTTCCTCCCACGTGTTTCCTGCTTCCCTCTCCCCCTCCCCCCACTCCTCTCCCAAACAGCGATCTCTCCTCCAACCGACTCAACGCGTCACTCGACCAATTCGCCCGCCCCTTGCTGCACCTCCCCAACCTCCGCGTTCTGTGAGTCTCCCCTCCCTCCCTTCCCTAGCCTTTTCCCTCTTCCCCCATTTCGCTCCCCGCCTCAACCCATTGACCAATTCGCGCGGCCTCTGCTGCACCTCCCAAACCTCCGCGTTCTGTGAGTCTCCCCTCTCCTGTCCTCTTCCCTCCTCCCTTTTAGTCTTCCCTCCTCCCTTTTAGTCTTCCCTCCTCCCTTTTAGTCTTCCCTCCTCCCTTTTAGTCTTCCCTCCTCCCTTTTAGTCTTCCCTCCTCCCTTTTAGTCTTCCCTCCTCCCTTTTAGTCTTCCCTCCTCCCTTTTAGTCTTCCCTCCTCCCCTATCCGCTTCCATCCTCTATCGTCCCTCCATCCTCGTTCATTCATGTCTCCTCACCCATCCCCTCCCCTCCCCCCCCCCCCCCCTCCACCTCTCCTCTTCACCTCCCCTCCCTTCCTCCCCCCCTCCACCTCCCCCCTTCACCTCCCCTACCTCCTCGCCGCGCCAGGAGTCTGAACAACAAGCTCTGGGGTTCTGTCCCCTCCTACCTGCTTCTGCTGCTTTGACTCATAACCCTCCTCTCTTCCACATTCGTTCACGTCTCCTCCCGCTTCACCTCCCTCTCACTCCTTTCCCTGCGCCAGGAGTCTGAACAACAACAAGCTCTGGGGTTCCGTGCCCTCCTACCTGCTGCTCCTGCTGCTCCTGCTGCTGCTGCTGCTGCTGCTGCTGCTGCTGCTGCTGCTCCTGCTCCGACTCAAAACCTTCCTCTCTCCTCATTCGTTCATGTCTCCTCCCCCCTCCCCACTCCCTTTACCTTCACCTCCCCCTGCTCTGCCAGGACTCTGAACAACAACAAGCTCTGGGGTTCCGTGCCCTCCTACCTGCTGCAGAAACCGAAGCTTCAGAAACTGTAAGGCTGCGCTCCCCTCCCTACCCCCCTGTGACCCCCCTTCCTTCCTTGCCTTGACTTGCTCCCGTCACAACTCACCTCTGGGGTTCTATCCCGTCCTACCTGCTGCTTCGGCCAAAGCCCAGAAACTGTAAGAGCCTCAGAAGCTTCAGAAGCACTTGAGCTCGCCATCGACACACCCATCCACCCCACCCAACCCCCTCCCCTCTGTTCCCCTTCCCCTCCCCTTCCCTCCCCACTTCTCCCTTCCCCTGCACCACCCCTCCCCACTTCAACCCCCACTCCTCCCCTTCCTCACCAGAGCCCTCCCCTTCCTCCCAACCAACAAGTCCACAGCCTTCTTGTGTGACCGACCGCTCCTCCTCACATTCCTCCCCTTCCCTCCTTTCCCCTCCCCTCCCATCCCTTCTCTTGCCCTAACCTGCCTCCTCACATTCCTCCCCTTCCCTCCTTTCCCCTCCCCTCCCATCCCTTCTCTTGCCCTAACCTGCCTCCTCACATTCCTCCCCTTCCCTCCTTTCCCCTCCCCTCCCATCCATTCTCTTGCCCTAACCTACCTCCTCACATTCATCCCCTTCCTCACCAGAGCCCTCCCACCCATGAAGTCCACAGCCTTCTTGAGTGACCCGCTGTGACTTCCTCACCGGATCCCTCCCACCCAAGAAGGCCAAGGCCCTCTCTACCCTCTCTATCTCCCACAGCTTCTTACTCATGTTTATTCCTTCCCCTCCCATTCGCTCCCCCTCCCTCCACCCTCCCCCCTCGCCCCAACCAGCCTCCTATCGCGCAACTTCCTCACCGGAACTCTCCCCCCCAAGAAATCCAAGACCCTTGGTACCCTCTCAATCGCCCACAACTTTATCCGCGGCCGCTTCCCCTTCACCATGTCATGCAACACAGTGGGCAATTGCCTCGATAACCCTGGGGCGAGGTGTACTAGTTACCCTCAGCGCACGCCGTCCCGCTGTCTGGCCCAGTGTGGGGGAGCGGAGGTGGGAGCTACGGCTGGTACTGCTGCTACAGCTGCTACAGCCGCTGCCACCACCACTACTTCCCGTACTGCTGCTGCCACTGCCTCTGCTTCCAATACTGCTGCTGCTGCTGCTACTGCTGCCCTTCCTCCAAGGGACCCAGCCGCCCTGATAGCCACTGCTGCTACCAATGCTGCTGCCGCTGCTGCTTCCGCTGCTACTGCTGCCGCTCGTCCCATCCCTCGCACCGCTGCGTCCGTCTCTCCAACCGCTCTCAAAACCGCCAACACCACCACCGCCGCTGCCTCCTCCTCTTCCTTCTCAAATCCTTCGTCGGTCTACTCGGCAGCGCCCTTCCTGACGCCCTGTGGGGGCTATGGGCGGTGCCTGCCCAGTGTGGACGACTCCCCTGGGGATGTTTCAGCCTCTTTACTGCCCGCCACCCAGTGGACGTGCATGTGCGCTGCTGGAGCCACTCTCAAAGACAATGACGTGTGCGGTGAGTGGGGTATCTGTTGTGGGAGTGGGTGGGGTGGGGAGTGTTGCTTGTGTGCCAGCCCAGTGTGCTTCTCGGCCTCTTTGTTATCTGCTACGCAGTGGACCTGCATGTGCGCTGCTGGGCCACACTTGAAAGATACTGACGTGTGCGGTGAGTGGGACGTGTGAATGGGTGGGGTGCGGTGAGAGAGATGTGGGTGGGATTGCATCAGAGTCTTGTTGCTCTGACGGTGACGTCTCTGCCTCGCTCCTCCCCACCACCGCTGCCCCTCCCTGTCTTCCTGCAAGCCTCACCTGTCGTGCCTACTGTTGTTCCCAGCGACCTATCTCTTTTCCCTCCCACCCCCCTCCCTCTCTCCCCTCCGCACCTCTGCTCTCCAGAGTGTGAGAAGAAATCAAGTTGCGTCGACCACCGCTGACCCGCCATGTCCTCCTGCAAAAACCCCACCTGTCATGCCCTATCTTCTCAATCTATCTCCCACCCACCCCATTCTTTCCAGAGTGTGAGAAGAAATCAAGCTGCGCCGACCACCGCTGCCCCGCCATGTCCTCGTGCAAACCACACCTGTTGTGCCTTCCCTTCATCTCACTCCATCCGCGTCCTCCCTGGGCTACCCTTCCCCTCCCTTCTTCCCTTCTCCTGCAGAGTGTGAGAAGAAATCAAGCTGTGTCGACCACCGCTGCCCCACCATGTCTTCCTGCAAGCCCCACTTGTCCTGCCTGGGCTACAAGTGCGAGTGCCACTGGCCTCTTGTCCCCGTTACAAGCTCAAGCGGTACAGTAGTTAAGTGCCGCCCCAAATGGCCCTGGGAGAAAACCAGATAAACATTTTTTTTTATAGCTAAGAGTTGAAAAATTATACGTTACCGTATTTTGGGTAGGTAGTCGATTTGTTGCCCCTTTAATAAACTGTGGGTGCACTTGATTGTAGAATGTAGTTTATGTGCTTTGGTGGTTTCTTATGGTGAATTGTAAGATTTTTTACCGTATCCATTTTACTGGGTACACCTTGAAGTGCTGCATCAAGCACTGCATCCAACCACTCATAGCAGGGAAGCACCATGTAACATTGCTGTTAGCATGGTATGATAATAGATGAATACTGGAACTTCAAAAATTGTGAGTGACGTCAGCATGCCGTAGGTAGCAGCAGACCCGACAATATCGAGTAAAGCTGCTGCCCGTAGCGTCATTCCTTATAAGAACGCTACTAACGGACAAAAGGGGGCAATTTTGTGGGGATGACATCAAGTTTCATAAGTTTTATTGCGCAAGTAATCCCAGCCCAATACTCCAAATGCTGATTTAATTGCATCTGTTGGAAAACCGAATACAGTATAACGAATATTGTACACCCGTGCTGTTTGGTTTTAGGGTACATTCCGCTGTGGACACATGTCCCAATCGATGTGTCCCAATCGAGTGTACCGCTCCGAACCGAACTAAACCAGAGACGCGAAAATTTCGAAACTAGGGTGCAATTTGGTGTAATACGATGCAGTGCGGTAGAAACGATTGGGACACATCGATTGGGACATGTCTCCACAGCGGAATGTACCCTTAGTGTAGGCTCCATCATAAGGGGGGGGGAGATTTACTGTTCCCTTTGAACAGTACTTTCCAACTCACCCTTATCCTTATACTCCTTGATTTCCTTGTGCCACCTAACACTCTACTTTTCTTGCTTCTACTTTTTGGTCTCTCACAAAGCACTTTCCATTATTAGATCCTGCATGCTATATCAACCTTGCTTGTGTTGCCCAATATCAATCAATTCTCAATCCGTTTCCAATGCAAACATGTTTCCGCTACGCTGGCACTATGCCTTTCTAGCATGGTATCAGAGCTACTCTAGGGGGCATGCTGCCAAATTTGGTCTATAAAGTTGTTGGCATTCCCTTCGGATAGGTACCTGCAAACGCTCAGAGTACCGGACACCTAGTACCGTATTCTCCCGGATAAAACACCCTAGGGTAATATGAAAACCACTGGGTAAAAATGGGGGGGGTCTCCACAAAGGAAAATCTTACATAATACCCGGGTCTTATTATATGGTATATTTTTTATCAAGTAGAAAAGATGTGAAACAAAATCAGGTGTCTGACTTCATTTCAAGATTGTTGACCAGTGCCGCAAAACCGAGTATACGAGGATAACGTGACCGCCCATTGGAATCTGCCACGTGGCATATTCGAGTGGGCAATTTTGGCACTTGATAGGGTGAAAACAAAGCCAATTGCGTGGCGAGGGTTCATGCAACCGCCGACTAGAATCGCGCACGGTGGTGCGTTCTTACTGTACCAGTCACTTCTTGACTGGTTTGGTCACGTGTAAGTGAGGTGGGTTGGGTGGGGTATGAAAATGATGTGGCACGATCTAGGCTATTCAATTTCTGGTCTGTAATCAGCAGAGAGATCCGCATTGGCGCGCTGAAGCCTTGCTCCAGCATTCCACGAATGTGGGAGTGGGATGGGGACCTTGGGATACCATTTGCTCAAAAGTTTACCCTAAACCGTTCTGTACCGTAACGAAACCCCTGATTCCCGATTTCGTGTCGGTGCGTTGCCAGCACATGGGGCTGTGAAACAAGTGAACAGGAATGTGTGAACTATGAATGAAGGCAGTACAAATATGAAACCCTAACTGGGTTGTACCCCCTATGGGATACCCCACTACAGCCTACACAATAGTATAAGCTATGGATATGTTCTGACACACCCCCATAGGCAAAGTGGGGGAGAACAAGGGGTCACAAGACCAGTCAAGCAAAGCAAAGCAAAGCAAGCTCGGGGTGGATCACAAAGTCACCACACAGTCCGAGCACAAGAGCAAGGCCAGAGGCCAGTTCACATGCAGGAGTACAGACATATATATATATATAAAACTAGACAAGCAAGAGCAGGTATATATATATGTCACAGTACAAGTAAAGTCAAGAGGAGAGCAAGTGAGGCAAGACAGGCACAAGACCCAGCTGGGTGCAGAGGCGCTGATGGTCACAAGGCGCGAGTGCCTTGGTGAACACATCAGCAGTGTTGGCCTCAGAGGCCACGTACGCAAGCCGCAACTGTCCACGCTGCTGCAGCTCACGAGCAAGGAAGTAGCGAAGAGCAATGTGCTTCGTTCTGTGCTCCAGACGCTGCTCTCGACACAAGGCCAGCATGGCCTTGTTGTCTACGTACAGCACTGGAGGAGAACGAGGCGGCTCTCCAAGGTCAGTCAGTAGGTAGGTGAGCCAGCGAAGCTCCTGTGCGGCCATGGCCCCAGCGTAGATCTCAGCCTCACAACTGGAGCTGAGAACCGAAGACGAGCGAGTAGCCCGCCACGAAACAGAGCCGGAACCAAGACTGAAGGTGTAACCCTGTGACGACCGCTGCGTAGCCTAGTCGTCAGCCCAAGAAGCGTCCGCGTGCCCTGTAAGGACCACTGGACTGCGCCCTCCAAGCACTAGCCCCATGCCCGACGTACTGCACAGGTAGCGCAACACCCTCTTCGCTGCAGCCATGTGCTCTGGTCGGTGTCTCCCAGGAGCAACATAGCGTGCAAGAATGCTCAGAGGGTATGCAAGGTCAGGTCGTGTGCAGGTCATCAGGTACATGAGGCAGCCAACAAGCTCTGGGTACGGGCCACTCGACTCTACGGACTCATCCGAAGGCAGAGCTGAGAGCGAGTGGCGAGTAGGCAGAGGAGTGGCCTGAGGCGAGGAGTACGTGAAGCCGAAGCGCTGAAGGACCTGCTGCACCATGTGTGACTGAGTCAAGGTAATGGTGCGGCGTGCTCTGTCCCGAGTGATCTGCAAGCCAAGGTAGCTGCGCAGTTCACCCAGGTCTGTGCACGTCTGTCTCTTCAGCAGCTTGGACTTCACGTAGGCGAGTCCAGCAGTGTCCGCTGTGGCAAAGACCAAGTCGTCGACGTACACGAGGATGTACAACGGCGGCAGAGAAGTGTCGGTGCGCAGAAACAGCGACGGGTCAGCAGTAGAAGGAGCAAACCCAAGAGCCGCAAGCGTAGTCCTCAGTGTGTCGTGCCACTCACGCGGTGCCTGGCGGAGACCGTAGACTGGCCGACGGAGGCTCCACTGGGTGCCAGGAGGGAAAGTCCCAGTGAAGCCAGGTGGACGGCGCAGCCAGATCTCCTCGTGCAGGCTACCCTGCAGGAACGCAGTGCTGAAGTCGAGAGAGTGAAGCTCGTAGTCGCGCTGAGCGGCTATGTGCAGCAGCACCCGAAGAGTGGTCATCTTCGGGGTGGGAGAGAAGGTCTGAAAGTAGTCAACTCCCTGCCGCTGACTGAAGCCACGAGCAACGTACCGCGCCTTGAAGACAGGTGGAGAGCCCGGCGGCCGCTTCACCCTGAAGATCCACATGCCACTGACGATGTTCGCCCCAGGAGGGGGAACCGCGTCAACGTAGGTGCCTGTGGACTTCCAGGAAGCCATCTCTGCATCCATAGCTGCCTGCCACTGAGACGAGTAGGGACCCTCTACGGCCTCCGCGTAAGAGCGCGGAGTCGGGATGTCTAGTGCATCCGGGTCTCCCTCAGGAGCAAGCAGTACAGACGCGAGATGAGGTGAAGCAGCCGCCAGACACTGTAACTCCTCCTGCCTGTCCTCTAGGACGTCCGTGCCAAGAGCACAGTCACCCCCGACGGACAGAGGACAGTCAGACGCTGACTCAGCAACAAGACTAGCAGCGTAGTCTAGACGACAGCGAGCAGCAAAGTCGACGAGCTCAGCGACAAGGGCAGACGCAGCAGTGGACTCAAACGAGGGGTCAGTGACGACAGTAGCAAGGAGACGCGTGACAGTAGGACTGGCAGCACGAAGAGAGTCCGACTCAGGGTCGGCAAGCGCAGGAAGAGAGGACTCAGGAGGAGAAGGCAAAGGGGCACGCAGAGGAGCAGTGGACGGACGCAGAGACATCCGGTGCGTGCCAAGGAGAGGAGGAGGACGCTGACGCGAACCGCGACCACTAGTGCGAGCAGCACGAACAGGCGACGCAGGACGAGACGCAGGCTCACGACGCTCAGCAAGACCTCCAGTAGGACCAGTGTAAGGAGAGGGAGCAGGCAGTGGAGAGGAAGGCTCCAACAGGGACTGCGACTGGACAGGCTGTGGACACTCTACCGGAGGAGAAAGACCAAGAACCTGCTGTAGGAGGGGAACGAAGTACGGCCGAGGCCGCGCGGCAACTCCAGACTCAGCAGGGACAGCACCAGCACCCTCAGCGACAGCACCAGCGCCACCAACACCTCCAGCGGCAGGACCTCCAGCAGCACCAGTAGTAGAACCACCGCCGGGACAGACAGCAGTAGTCTCAGCACCAACACCCTCAGGAGCTCCTGCTCCAGGAGTACCCGCAGACCCAGCAGCTCCGGGACCGGCAGCACCAGCACCCTCGACGGTCGAAGAAGCTCCAGCTCCAGCTGCACGCCTCCAGCGGCGAGCTAACCACTCGCGCAGCTCCTGTGGAGAGAGGGGCTCCCGGCGAGACGCAGCAGCAGGAGAAACCACAGGCTCAACAGCTCCAGACGTAGCACCCCCAGGCTCAGCAGCTCCAGACTCAGTACCCCCAGGCTCAGCAGCTCCCGACCCAGCACCCCCAGACCCAGCACCCCCTAGCTCAGCAGCTCCAGGCACCGTACCCCCCAGCTGAGCACCCCCAGGCTCAGCACCCTCCGCAGTAGCACTCCCAGGCCCAGCACCCCCAGGCTCAGCACCCCCACTAGCAGCACCTCCAGGCTCGGCACCCCCGCGCACAGCACCCCCAGAGTCAGCACCCCCAGGCTCAGC